AAACAGAATGACTGAGTGACTAGCCATGATTATTTCTCAAAAGTTAAAAATCCTTATGTTAAATGTCCTGGTCCAAACTCATTATATCAGATTACTGCATCATTGATTGCAGTGGAATCTTGAAGACAAACTAGTTTTAAAGGCTTCTTAAAAATCACCAGTGAGCTGTAACTGAGGAATGACAAGAACTGTGGAATGATAAGAGGAATGATAAGAACTGGCACGTTGGGATGTGGATAGTGATTCAGTCATATGACAGCTTCATTGGCACATCATTAGTTATGCAAATGGTTTGGAATTCTATAATGCCTTTTTAACCACCAAGCTCTTTTGGATTGGCTAGCAAGAACATGGACTCGCTTTTACTCCAAACTAGCACACACCAGACAGGTCAAATATCTACCTTCTGCGTCACTTGGCCTAAAATACGTCTCTTACCATGCTGTGAAAAATCTCTGTGATAATCCAACAAGGTGACATACATTCTGTTCAAAAACACAAAAAGCCTCCAAAATCTAAAATGAAAAGTTTATTACTTAAAAGGCACATGGGAGAGGGGGTTGTTTGCTGTTGATGCTCTGTAACCCTGCAGCTTGGAATTCACTGAGTAAACCAGACTAGCCTCAGACTTGCAGTGATTCTCCTGGTTGTACATCCTGAGTGCTAGAATTATGGTAGGGGAGGATATGTCTAACTTCAGAAAATATTTTGGGAAGATTAGCTTGTCACAATATAAGTCCTCTAAAATGTTAAAAAGGTGTTTTTTGGGGGTGCACAAAAAAACTGCAAACAAAGCAAAATAAACAAACACCTCTAGGAACTTATTTAATTCTGAATGACTATATACTAAAGAATGAACTGAAACTATGAAATCTAGTTTTAAACAAGACGATAATGCAAAGCACGAACCCAAAAGGTCGGTTAATGATTCCTTTTCAGGCAATGTACAACCAGATGTCATGTAAGCTAATAACTGAGTCTGACAGAGACCAGGATTTAGATCATCCTCTGGGAAGAGGCTAAAACCTCCCGGGTTCTTACAATTCACAAGCATATTTTTGCTACACATAAGGAAGGCCAGGCTGATAGGCAGAGCAGAAAAACATTTGAGAGGCTAAAATCCAGGTCTGAGGATCTTTACTAATGAAGCAATTCCTCCGCAAAAACAAGTTATTGCGGAGATAAATGGAGATGATGCCAGGATCAAATTTAATAGTATATATAAAAACTGGGCATGGCTGGAGACACAGATGAGGACAGACAAGGATGAGGGTGCAAAAATGAAGCCAATTACTTTGAATATTAGCAGAGAAAAGTATGCATAGCCGCACAGTCCTAGGCCTTGGAAAGCTGAGGTAGAAGATGAAGCATTCAAAGCAGTAAGGCCCTAAGTATGTAATTATTATTTTGTGGCACTGGGAATTGAACCCAGGGCCTCACATATGCCTCATTTCTTTGTGAGATAGGGTCTCACTAAGTTACCCAGGCTAGTCTTTAACTCACTCTGCAGTCCAGGCAAGACCTGAACTTGCCATTCTCCTTCCTCAGCCTCCAAAGTAGTGGAAAGCACAAGCCTGTGCCATCAGGACAGACTACAAATGTATCACATTATGACGTGAGATAATTATGTAGAAGCAAAGCGAGCTTTCTTTTCTAATACTAAAAATTACCTAACAATAATTTGATTTAGTTTTGGGGTAAGCTGTTTGAAAAGAAGTAGGTATGAATACCTACCTCTCAATAATTTGGAGGTTTCCAGGGCCAAATGTTTTCTCAATTGGGGAGAACACTAGACAGTAAACCTCCATCATCATAACATTCATACAAAGGAATGTCATCACAGATAGAAGGTGCCTTCGGTACTCTAAGACTTCAGACCGGCCTCAGGCACCATATAGTATGGTAGCCAACAGCCACATAGAGAGCTATGAGCATTTTAAAAGGGCTAATAGACAATGGGTTTCAAACTCAGCACAAAAACATACAATTTAATTAATTTCCACCCTTATTATAGCACAAAGGGTAGTCTGGCTTTACTGGGTGAAATAAAAATATATAATAACATAATATGGCTATAATAAGAAATAAGGTAATCTATAAACAGCTTTTTACTATACTGTCCATATAAATCCCAAAAGAACTAAAGGTGCTTTGAATAACTTTCATTCATTCATATTGCTAACACACCCCCATCTAACCCATACCAAAGATAACAACTCAGTAGGTTTGGGTTCAAGTCTTCTCTCTCTCTGAGAACCCAATGACCTAAGTTTGAGATATTCACTTAATCTCACCCAGACCTTTACTTTTTCCACAAGTCTTCAGAATCTCGTCTCATTCTCTATAATGTTTTAAAAATAATTTTTTCAAGCTGCTTATTTTACCCCAGTTTTTCTTATTCAGGTTTGCCAAGATCGTGGCAACTCACAGCACCTCCATAACACTTTCATCTCCTGTTGTCTATCCAGCCTCCCTACACCCATGTTGGCCTTGAAAGCAAAAACTCACCAAATACTTTCCCTTAGCCCTCTTACATCATCCATTTTCTCCTTTTCTGTGATAAAACTTGAAACAATACCCTTACCTATTGTTATAAAATCACTATTACCAGTAATTTCTAAAACAGCTTATAATACAAACACCTTTACAAAAGTGTACTCTACTCAAGTTCAGCAATCATCTCTGAGGCACTAAACCCTTTCCTTGGGACCTATGCTGCTCTTTTGTGTTGGTATTTAGAATCAAACCCAGGGTCTTGCATATGCTAGGCAAGCATTCTACCATTGCTATATCCCTAGTGAGGGACATACTATTCATGTCCCAGGTATTTCCATCCATCTATCTCTGATGTCCTTGTGTTGGCTTGGCTCTCTTCCCAGGAATGTGAGCATCTCCCAACATTTCTCCCATATTCTTAGGTATCTTCATATCCTGACCTAAATATGTATGACCACGTGATCTTGCTCTTCCCAAGAGCATTTCTAACAACTGTTGCCACTGCTGCCTCAGGTAAATAGCAGTAAAACATACCTGATCATCTTGCCTCCCTCATCCTTTCCACTTAGCTTTGCTGTACTGGTGGTCACCACAGTCAGTCAAGAATTCCACTTTCCTTTGTTAGTAAACTCTATCTGTACCCCACTATGCAGCTTCCTCTTAGTCAGTCAGTTCCAGTATCAGCCACAACAATCTTTTTTGATCACTTACTTGGCTTGCCTCACGCATACGATGCTTGTCAAAACCTTATCCTGAATTATATGCCTTCTTGAATCCAAGGAATCAAACAGTATATATCTCTGAATAAAAAAAAAAAAAAAAATTTAAAAAGCACCATACTTTAATCCTAGTAACTAGTCCACGATTAATGCAGAAACACTAAGAATAATTTTAAAACTAAGAGCCTGTCCTCCCAGAAAGTGCCACTCTCTAAACCTCCTCCCTCTATGTTTAATTTTACAATGGCCTGCATAGCATTCCCCAGCACAGCGTACCTCCTGGCCTCAAATTCATCCCTGACCTAGGGTACCTCCTAACAACTTTTCTGGACTGTAGGGCCCAATTTATCTTTCTTCTAAATATCACACTTAGATGACCTAAGAGACAAGATAAATTTTATTATATCTCTGAATCTTTTTCTTTCTAGAATTCCTGACTGGTAATAAGATTGATAGCGTAAGAACGTCATAGAATACCCTTTATAATCCCCAACACACCCCCATTCTTCAACTGCAAATGGAATTAAAAAGCTTGATAACTTGGTAAGATCACCATCTTCCTAAGAAGATGCCTCTTCGAGCTCCAAAGGCCACACTTCAACACTCTGCAAGCGAACAGATGAGAACTCTCAGCAATGCTGTGAGAACTCCTACCCCTACACCAGGACACGGGTCTTAGCTCAGCTCCTTCCTGAATTTTTAGAGGAATATTCTTCCCAGCACCACTTCTGGTCAGTCCCTTTTATTTCTCCTCTGAACGATTTTAATAACTACCAAACTGATATCGGGACTTGAATATTTATAAGTTGTTTCTATAATTTAAATATCTATTTTGGAACGTGGCATATTAACAGATATGCACTTAAAGGCCTCTTTTAAGAAGGGGGGGGCTGATGGCAGCCTTACATGTGCCCCATGTAAGTGTTGGAGAAGAATTCTTGTTTCCCGAATGAAATGAACACCCCTGGAAATGTGCTATGATCAGAAAGTCAGTCAAGAGAAACTGATGTATCTACAAAAGGAAAGAGATTAGAGAACTTGGATTTTTGGGAGAAGACAACAAATTTTAAAACAGAACAAATCCAATCCAACGACTACTACACAGAACCAACATAAATACAAGATACCTACTCACACATGCACATATCCTCCTGTCAACTTGAAAATGTTTTCAGAGTTTTTGAAGTAAAAACCATCAACTTTTACAAACACAAATCACCAAGATAAAGAAAATGTGATTTGAAAAAGGACTCAGAAAGAAAATGGATTAATCAAGTCTTTTTCCTCGCCTTTCTCAAGGAGATGAATTTCTGGTATTCAAATTTCTTGGGGGATAAACACAAACTGCTACCTTTTGTGTGCAACACAAGGCGCTACGAGCCGCTACACACACTCTTGCAAGACAAAACTTTCCGGTCCTGCACCCCAAGAGTCTGAGCTCTCACTACTGACTCGGCAGCCCCGACGGCTCGACGCACCTGCGCACGCCCGCGCAGGTCCGCCCCTGCCCCGGGAGGCGCCCGCAGCGTCCCCGAGCCCCCCGGGCGTGCTCGTCCGCCGTGACACTACCTTGCAGCTCGCGCGAGGTAAGGCAGGCGGCACCCAGCGCGGCCGGCGGTCAGCACGCCCTCGGCCGCAGGCCCCACTCGGCGGGACGTCCGCACGGTCGCGGCGCACGCGCGCTAGGCGGGAGGGGGCTCGCGCGCCTCTCCGCCCCGCCCCCCGCGGGAAGCGGCTGACAGCCAATCGGGAGGCGGCGGGGGCGGCCGGGCAGCCTTCCGGAAGCGGCGGGGCGAGCCGGGGCGCTCTGGCGTGAGGACGCGCCGCGGCTGCCGCTGAGCTGGGCCCGGGACGCGCCGGCCGCCGGGAGCGGGCGCCAGGTAAGCTCGGAGGCTTCCCGGAGCTGCGGGCCGGCCCGGCGGCCGCGCGGCCTCCGCTGCCCCAGGGGCCGGCGCCGTGCAGGCCGGGCGGCCGCCGGTGGTGGGCGTGCAGCGGTGACCGGGGCGGTGGGCCCTCGCGAGGCTTCTGCGCGGGCGGGGGGAGGGCCGGGCCCGGCCGCGAGAGCCTTTGTCTGCCGCACACCTGCCGGGGAACGTTTCCTAGTCTGCCGTAGGTGGCCATTCGGGGCCTCCTCCAGCGTTTGTGTGCGCGGATTAACGTGTAAAAGTGCATTATAGGCACTGGGTTATTATATAAGCAAAATTTACGCGGGACATTCCCTCAGTGTAACTTTCATCATTGGCCATTCTCTAGATCTTGAGAAGCTGAAAGAACATTACACTCCCGAAACATTTGCTTAGCAGGATGAAATTCATTTCTGCAAACTCTACAATAGAAAGGGTGGTATGTGATTTTGAATGGGAGCTAGAATATATTCTAGCAGTTTTCCCTCTCTCAGACAATGCCCATTTCACTTTGATTGTAAAAAAAACTAAACTCTTAAACTCCAATAAATAGTATGCTTACGATGACTGACTACTAATACCAGTTCCTTCGTGTTTCTTCGTGAACATAAAAGGAGGAGAAAGCCGGTTGGAGGGGGGCAGAGGAAGCAGAGATAAAGAAAAACTAATTAGGGTTTGGCTAAAGAAATACTGAGAAAGACTCATGGCTTTAACCTAGTTGTGATACAAATATGAATCCCTAAGCCTGTGAAGTTTTCATAGTACATCAACAAGCTGTTACTTCTAAGTTCACTTTTTAAAAGTGTGCACATAGCCAGATACTAGTGGCTTACACTTGTAGTGCCACTACTTGGGAGGCTGAAGCAGGAGGATACCTGTGAGTGTAAGGACAACCTGAGCTACACAATGATACCTTGCTTAAAAAAAAAAAAAAAAGAAAAGAAAAAGAAAGGAAGAAAAGTGAGTTTGAACTCTTTATTATGGTTAAAATGTTCCATTACATGCTTGCATCTGGCCACTGGTTGGGCCAGTGCTGCTCTCCCCACCCTTTTAAAGTATTATTTTATTGGTGATTATCATATTTGCCAAAGCTAACCACACAGAGAAATAAAGTACCTTTTAAAGTATTATTTTATTGGTGATTATCATATTTGCCAAAGCTAACCACACAGAGAAATAAAGTATGTGGGAAACTAATAAAAGGGAACAAAACAAAAGATGACCTAAAAATAGAAAATGGGCTAGACTACCATGAAAAGGGAAGTGGAAATAGCAGGAGAGGGAGTAGAAATAAGGAATATCCTTGAAACATAGTCTAGGCGTATATTGAAATATCACAATGAAACATGCTGACTTGCACAATTAAAAACTCATATTACTTTATTCTTTTCATATATTTAGCACCTGGCTTTCACCCTGCTTGCATTTTAAACACACAGGTTTTTCAAGAATTTTGAGATGGGGTATCACTATGTGGCCCAGGCTGACCTCAGACTTTGGCAACCCTGAGTGCTGGCATCATTGGAGTGTGCCAGCACACTTGGGTCCAGTTTGAGTTTTCTTTCCCATTATTTCATTTAGTAAAACTGACAGGTAATAAAACAGGTTTTACCAAAAGAAGCCATACAAATAAGTCTTGTCTACCTGACTGTAGTATCAGCTGATTCTCTATTGGCTCACATTGGCATCTGTAGACAGCATGTTTTAGAGGTGTGTGTCCCATGTTAGAATGAGAAGGGGGGAAATGCAGTAACATTATGTCATGTCAGAATTGTGGGTATGTAGGTTTCCAGCTATTACACTTTTGATTTGTTTCTTTTCTACAGAGCAAACATGAATGTTGGAGTTGCCCACAGTGAGGTAAACCCTAATACTCGTGTAATGAACAGCCGTGGTATGTGGCTGACGTATGCTTTGGGAGTTGGCTTGCTTCATATTGTATTACTCAGCATTCCCTTCTTCAGTGTTCCTGTTGCTTGGACCTTAACAAACATAATACATAATCTGGTAAGAACGCCGTCTTATTTTAATTATGTAAAGCTGTAAGGTTCTTTGTCAGGGTTAAGGGAAAGAATCAGTGACATGCTATTTAATGAATATAGAGCTTCAGTTTGGAAAGATGAAAGACATTGTGGAGATAACTGACTCTAGTGGTTTCACAACAGCGTGAAGATATTTAGTACATTATAAATAAAGCCTGTAACAGTGATGTCTGGAAGGGTGCACTGGAAGGGAGTTAGACTCGGGGCCCTGAACTGATGCCCCTGGCCCCACAGCTTAGGGTTTTTGTTAACAACTTTCTATTCTGTGCTATAAAAGTCATCTATTTAAAACGTACAGTTTCATACTTGGCCATTGCAAAGATAAATAAATGTATATAATTCAGTGTTTTGAGACTATGAGTTAATTTTGAAGAATTCTAATGGTTAGGATTTTTTTTTTTCTGTCACAGCTTAACATCAGGCCTGTTTCTAAGACTTTCTTCTCAAATTGTTTGCCATTTTAATAAAAAGTACATTATAATTTAGGTTATTATATATCAATTCACTAGAATACTTGAACATTGTTTTTATTTAAAGTCTAATAAAGATTGTTAGTTTGAATCTTTGCAAAGTCTTTCTAAATTGCTTAAATATACCTTCTTTATTCAATATAAACATTTTAACCTAAGCCCATTCAGCATTTTATGGTACTTTAAATATTTCTTGTTGATTTTCACACTCCTGTAGTAGCTGTATGCATTAGCATTACAGATCACAGACTTCATTGACTACTGAGCAGATAATTCATCCTTGGAAACTGACTGTTAGAAGAACCCACAAAACCTTGAGGATGGCTTTTCTTAATTTTTAAGTACTTACTAAAGTAAACTGGAAAGGGAAAGATGCAGTTAATGTAGAACTTTAGAATCTAAGTTAGTTGTATACTTATTAGAGCAGGAGAACAGAAAGAAATAAAGGAAATAGGTTCATATGTGGTGAATAGCCTTTAAATAGTGACTTCTAGAAATACTTGACAGTGGTCATCTCCTTTTGACTAGTACTCTTATTTTGGGTTCTGTGGGATCACTTTGTCCTAGGTGTATCTCTGGTTGTCTTCTCTGTTTCCTCTTGTAGGCTCTTTTTATAACCATCCTTCAGTCATAATCTCCTGTGGTCCTTTTCTTTGTCTCTTTTTTATGCTATGAATTCTATCTAGATCATTTTACTTACCTGCATTTTCAGTTTCTGTCTGTAGACTACTGCTTGTATTTAGATAACCTTGCATTTGAAAGCAAGGACATAAATGGAGCTCACCACACACAGTTTGCTCATGACTTCCCTCCAGGCTCATCTAAATATTGCCTGCTGGACCAATGAATTTCAAAGGTAAAGTAATATAATGTCACCCTCACCTTTTCATGAGCAAAGGTAACAACCTAGTAATAGTCAATCCAAGAGGGTTAGGTAGAAGCCTGAAATGCCCTGTGCAAATATAACATGGTCACGTTTACGTTGTGTTAATTTTTGCTCTGTATGCTCTAGCTACTATTTCACTGTTCACTTGCCTATAGCCTCATTAGATAATTATCGCAATAATGTTTCTCTTCATAGTCCTCATTTCTACCCCCTTATATTCAGAGTTAGAAATATTTGGCGGGGTGGGGGCTGGAGAGATGGCTCAGCAGTTAAGGGCACTGACTGCTCTTCAAGAGGACCTGGGTTCAAGTACCAGCACCCACATGACAGCTCACAACTGTCTGTAACTACAAGATCTGACACTCACATAGGTATACATGCAGGCAAAACACCAATATACATAAAATAAAGGTAAATAAAATTTTTTAAAAGTTTTATTCTCTTAAAAAATGGGTTTTGAATGTGTGTCTACACAAGGCTTCTTTGTATGTTCTTTGAGGATTCTCCTTTGTGTTTATAATAAAATCCCAAGCTCTTGTTTGGCATAAGTAATCGTTCCAGAGTACAGGGACAGAAGGTCAATCTTTGTTCACCTGGTCTCTACAGTAAATACAGGATGTGTTCCAGCAGTTTAGAAACAGTATTGTTCTTGCCTTTTTGCCTTGGCTTCAGCCTTTCTATTCTGTTTCCTCGTTCTGCCAGCTGACTCCTTTCTAGCAAAACTACTCAAATTTCACCTCTCATAGCTATCTGTAAAACCTCTACATTGTTATATAACAGTTTTGTAATTAGGAGTTTAATCTCAATTGTTCATGTACTTCAGGGTTTGAAACAGGCTCTCACTCTGTCCCCAGGCCTTAAATTCTTGGCATTGATCATGTTTTAATTTTCCAAGTGCTGGGATTTCAGGAGTGAGCTGCCACATCTGGTTTCTTTATATTTTAATCTCTGCATTCTCTGATATTATGTGTGTGTGTATATGTCTTTACTGAATAACAAACATGTTTAAATGTAATGCAGATGCCATTTTATCTTTACCTCCCTTGTTTCAAAATTGATTAGCTTGAGATTGAGGCGCAGCACATGAACATGAAGAAGCAATGGATAGTGAATGCAATGTAGGAGAGCGTGCTTCTCACCTGTTACTAGTTCACGCTAAAAAGCCTAAATTTAACTTAACCATCCAGAGAGAGAGAGCAATTACATGACTGCATTTAAAGTTTCCTTTGAAAATAGCTCACATTTTGGCCGATTAGAATGTGAAGTGTGAAGCTTTCAAGCATGCAGAAATGGAGCTAGTCACTGTGTCATGTAAAAACTGCACTGCTCTTCAGAGCCTGCAGTGATTACCTTTATTCGATGCTACAGGTCAAGCTTTTTATTTGTTTGTTCGTTTGTTTGTTTTTCAAGACAAGGGTTCTCTGTGTAGCTTTGGCTGTCCTGGCCTTGCTTTGTAGACCAGGCTGGCCTCAAATACACAGAGATCCGCCTGCCTCTGCCTCCCTAAGCGCTGTGATTACAGCCATGCACCACTGTGCTTGGCTATGCTTCTGGGTTTTTTTAGATGTATTTTATTTTCCTGTATGTGTCTGTGTGTTCATACGTGTATTCTGGCCTGTGGTAGCCATAGGAGAGGGTACCAGATCCCCTGGAGCTGAATTACTGCCTGATGTGGTTACTGAGAACCCAACCTCGATCCTCTGCAAGAGCAGCAAGTGCTCCTAACTGCTGAGGAGTTTTATGTACATAAAGACTAACTAATTCCTCCTTCCCCACTACAGTTCATTCTTGAAGATTCTGTTAATACTTCACAAGATTATCAGTACAGCTATAAAATGAACAATACTCTCTTTTTGAGTCAATAACTGTTAAGTGCTAGTATACCAGAAACGTATTTTGTTTTCCTAGTTATTTTGCTTTATGAATAATAATTAGTGCTTTTATATAAAAGCTACTAAAAATGAGCATGCTAAGAGAAAAGATACATAGTCACTAAAAATGTCATTTTGTTTGTGTGCGTGTGTGTGTGCATGTGTGAATTGCTGGGAACTGATCCCAGGGTATCACAGCTGCTAGGCAAATAAATACTACTGTAGAGCTAACTATACTCAAGTACACCCTTCATTCTTTTCTGTTGAAAAAGGTAAACTGTTGAGTACCACATTTTAAACACTATGAGCACAACATGGTTTGAAGAAAATAGCAAAAATGTTGCTCTTCTTAGATTCTGAGAGGTAATGTGTTATAGAGTACTTTTTTCCTTATAAAACAATAATAGTTAATCATGTAAATTAACCTTTTATGTTCAGTGTAAAACTATATCCACATTAAAGCAAAATTAAATTATATTGTCAATTAACTAGTACAAAGGAACATTTTTACATTTTATGAGTTAATCTGATTTCTCAGTCTATCTCTGATTATCTTGTTTTTGTTTTCTTGAAATAACTGTATTACAGTTTGTTTCTTGCTTCAGTTTTATGAAAAAAACTTTACTTTCCGGTTTTTAGTTTTTTGTGCTTGGGCTTGAACCCGGGGTGTTTTTTAGCTTCAGCATGCCAGTGCTTCACCATCAAACCACAGCCTCGCTCTATAGCAGCCTTATTGATGAGTGCTCTATATACCAAAATCTACCCATTTTAAACATGTAGTTGAATTAAAATTTTAATGTATTATGAGAATTGTACATGAATACTGTGCTTACACCATTTCCACCTCTTTGCCTCTCCAACTTTTCCTATGCCCCCTACTCCTTTTCAAATTCATGACCTCTTTTGTTGTTATTGTTACATATACATATATGTGTATATAAATACAACCTACTGGGTCCGTTTAGTGTTACGCCAATGTATATGTGTTGGGATTGGATAACCGATCAGAGGGCTCATCCCAGGAAAAGACCAATTCTTCCTCTCCCAGAAACCTGTAGCTCTTCATCTAGGGGTAGGGTCCTATGAGATTTCCGCCATCTCATGAGCGAAACGATTGTTGTAACTGTTTGGGCAGCTTACTATTGAAAATTCAATAGTTATTTGAGAATTCTCTGATATATAGAAGACACTATCTTACAGCACATGTCCTGGACCTCTGACTCTTACAGTCTTTCTACATCATCTGCTGCAATGTTCTCTGAGCCTTAGATGTAGGGCTTGTGTTTTAGATGTGGGCACCCTATAATCAGTTGTCCTCTGCATTTTGACCAGTTGTAGATTTTTTTAAGAGTCTCTGCAGCAAAAAGGTTGTTTTGTTTTGTTTTGTTTTTTGTTTTTTGTTTTTTTAAGTGAGAGCTACACTTACCTATGGGTATAAGAGTAAGAATGTGTTAGAAATTTTACTGCTTTAGGAAAGTGACAGTAATAGGTTCTCTCTAGAATCCATGACCTCACCAACCAAGAATGCTTCCAGGTCAGTTCCAGCTAGATTCCTCCAAGTCCTGTATCTGAAGTGTGTGGTGTATCCAGCAGAGGGATTTTTACAAGTTCTGAAGGCAGCAAAGGTCATTGGCAAAGGCTCTTTTTGTTATACAGTTTATAGCTCTTGGAGTGGTTATACACTCTTGACAATTTAAAATATACCTTCTGTTTCACTATTCGTTTGACATATGTGAAAATGGCTTCCTGGCATTTATAAGATAAACACACCTTGGCTTAAATACTGTCTTCCAGTGTGCCCAATACTTTTTCTGTTTTAGGTCTTACTCCTCGGGTATTCAGGCCAATGGAACACAAACATACAATTAACACATACCATTGTGATGAGAAGAGGACTGAAATCTATTCATACATCTTAATGGCAGGTTATTTATTACTGAAGATGTACCAAGAAATTGTCACTGAAGCTGAACCATTGTAGATGAGGGAGTTGGAGTGGTAACATCAAAGCTCTAACCTGAACAAAAAAGAGAACATACACTTTCTGATATTCTGGCTGTGATACGCATTGCAGTTTCTGCCCTTCCTCTCATTTCTTAGACTTTTTGTTAGAGGTTGGTCTGAGCATGTTACTAGCCCTCAAGATTTGGGTACACTTATACTTGTGCAAACCTACCTGATTAGCTAATTAAACAGTCTATATTGGGCAGGGCAGAATCGGGTAGGTGTGGCTAAGATTCCCAGGCTTCAGAGGACAGAATCATGGGAAACAGACAGAGAGAGAAGAAGATTCCAGGATGAGTTAGCTTGGAGAAGGAATCACGTGGGCCTGCAGAAAGGACTCTAATAAAGAATAAAAGCAAGTATTTATAAGATTATAGATGGAAGATAGCTCAGATGAGGATGGTTAAGGAGGGTGGCATTGGTTGGGGGCTGGAAGGTGGATGGTGAGGATATTGATACAGTGTAGGTAAAATATCTGCCTGGCTCAAGATAAATAAGGAATTATAAAATCTAACAGGTGTGTCTTCTTATTTGTGATAGTGGGTTAGATAATACCACTGTGATAATCTTGGGACTAAAGATAAACAATATATAGCCCAACACTCATCTTTTCTTTACAACGACAACTTTGTTTTTGTGTTTCACCATCTCTCAGAAGACTGGACTTTTCCAAAGCTAAAGATACAACTTTTGAGTTTCAGGTGCACACATGCTGTAGGTGTAAGTCCTCTAACATAAGCCACTCAGTAAATGTTTTTAATTGGTGCACAAAATAATGTGCTTCATTATGGCATCTTCCAGCGTGTGAATACTAATACCTTGTTCATATTGTCCCACCCCATATTCCTGCAACCATTTCTTCCCAATAATCCCCTCTATTTCTATGTCATATGTTTCTAAATCTATATTCCATATGAGAGAAAATATGCATGTTTTGTCATTTCCACCCACTGTCTTGTAATAGCCCTTTTTCATCCCCTCTCTTTCAACCCTTTTCTCTTCCCTCATGCTTTTCCCACTGCATTCATGTCCTATGTATGGAAATATGCTCATAGTTAGATTCTGCATGTTAGAAGATGTACAATATTTTTATCTTCCTCTCATACCCTCTTATTATCCCTTCCCTTTTACAATTTATTTTGTTTTTGCCAGTTACACCACATACAAACACACGTACGTTTGCTCATTATTGGTGAATAAAATTCTTGTGTGTTTGTGTGTGTGTATCACATTTTCTCCATTGCTCTGCTGATGATCATTTAGGCTGGTTCCTTGCTGTTGTGAAGAGTACACTAATAAACATAGATATGTTAGTGTTCATATTTGTTTAATGAACATGTTGCTTTTGATTGCCCTTATTGGTTTTCACCAAGTAAAAACATACCCCAGAAAGCTTTATAATTCTGTTCGTAGTTTTTCACTATTACATGGAAACCTAACTTGTTTGGTTTTGGTTTTTCAAGACAGGGTTTATCTGTGTGGCCTTGGCTGTCCTAGAATCACTTTATAGACCATCCTAGCCTTAAATTCAAAGCAGTCCACCTCCATTTCTCTCCCTGAATTACAGGCATGCTCTGCTCCTAACTTACTAATTTAAATCATATACTCTTTCACAAATAGCCTAGAGGCATTATGATGTGCTGTAGGTAGCATTAATTTTTACTATTTATTTATCTTCTGGTAAGGCTGCTGTTATCCTCAGCAGCTGTATAACCAAATCACCACACAGAGACTGGGTTTTTAGTTAACCTAGAACACAATGCTGGGCAATATTTACCCCCCCCCCAAGCCCTCAGTTTCCTAACATTTAGATTTCCCACATTATACTTGCTTTTTGTGAAATCTTAGGTTAGGTTCATGCTCTACATCCTCCAAGATCTCTCCTCCAGCTCTGCTCCCCTAGCTCTCCTCTTGCCCCTCCTCTTCCTCCTCCTCCTCCTCCTCCTCCTCCTCCTCCTCCATCCACTCCTCCTCCTCCCCCTCCCCCTACTCGTCCTTCTCCTCCTCCTCCTCCTCCCCCCACTCCTCTCCTGCCTTCTGGCTCCTCCCCTCTTTCCTGTCCTCTGGCTCCTCCCTGCTCAACATTGTGTCTAGTTGCTTTTATTTTGTTCCTGTTTACACAAGAGTTGAGACAGGATGCTTAGAATGAGTATCACAATGAATAATGAATAATCACAAATATCCAGATTGAAACGAGAGAGTTGGAGGTGGGGTGGGTATTTGAATGAACAAGAGTAAGGTGTATACATTAAAAAAAAAAAATACCAACAATGATGCTTAATTGTAAGGATGAACTCTGTGTAATACCCTCTATTACTTGCTTTTCAGGGAATGTATGTGTTTTTGCATGCAGTAAAAGGAACACCTTTTGAAACTCCCGATCAGGGTAGAGCAAGACTCCTAACCCACTGGGAACAGCTCGACTATGGCGTACAGTTTACATCTTCTCGGAAGTTTTTCACAATTTCACCAATAATTTTGTAAGTGTTAGAAATATTAAAATATAGTGGATTGGATAAGAAAAAAGTGTTTATCAGATTTAATTGAATTTTAAAATGGTATTTTCTTGAGAACTTTTATCAGCAAGTAGCTGCCATAAGGAGAGTTATATGGTACAGCCACAGTGTTTAACAAGTTGGTAAAAAAACCAGTTTTTCAGGATCAGATGAATGGGGAGGAAGTCCCCCTATCAGTGGACTTGGAAAGGGGCACGGTGGAGATGAGGGAGGAAGGGAGGGACTGGGAGGAAATGAGGGATCGGGACATGGCTGGGATACAGAGTTAATAAAATGTAACTGATAAGAAAAAAATAAAATTAAAAAAAACAGTTTTTACTTGAATCAGTACAGTGAGAAGCACTACTGTTCATCAGTGAGTCTAACATTCTAAGAAACAGGTCAGAATCATTTGTGTCTTTGTTTCTTAAGGAAATTGTGAGCACGCTATTCTGTATTACATATCAGAGTAATCGTTCTAAGTAATGATCTGATAATTATATTGTCTACCCATCTCTATTTAGATAGCTCAGTTCAAACTTGAGAAAAGAGTGGCTTAGAAGAAACAGAGGTCCTGTATCATCCATTCAGCTCGGTTTGCTTACATACGAAATTCTAACAAGGGATGTAGATAGCTCAGGAGAAGGCGTGCTCAGCTTGGGGAAGCCCTTGAGTTTGATCCACAATACCACATGAAACCAAACATGATAGTGCACACTTGTACTCCCAACTCTTAGGAGGTCAAGGCAGGAAGTTCAAGAACTTGGCTATGCCCGCACAGCCAGTTGAAGGCTATCCTGGGCTACATAGAGCTTTTTTAAATGCCTGACACCCAGCTCCTCCCTTAAAAATCAAACTAATGGTATATAACTTAATGGTACTTTACTTAACTTGAGGCTCTAAGAAATAAGTCAGATGCATTATTTGTAAAGCGTCTATTGGAATCTGGTGTCTGCTTTCTTCCCAATACCTACATGATTATTCTCTCCATTTGAATATTTTATTCCTACCCAATTTCTACCTAAGCATTTCTTGAGTGTTTCATGTATAGACCTATTTTTATTCTTTTGCTCAAATTGATTTGAAATGAAATACCATCTTTTTTTTTCTCCCTTGGCTTTATGTAGGTATAAAGGAGAAATAAATATACATTTTTCCCCTTTTAAGAGTTCATAAGTACATATATTGTTCTGAATACAATAGTCAATAGCTTGAACATGACATTTATCACATGTAGCTTAATTTTAATACTCTAGTATACAGTAGAGTACATAAGACTGTATCCATTATAGTATCAATGCAGTCTGGAGTAGGGGAAAAGACTTTTTAAGAGAATTAAGTTTTGAGTAGATGGTTTCGTAAGACATTTTCAAGAGAAAAGTTCATAAAGCAAAAGACATTTCTCCTTCGTATTTATTAGATTTTGTGGAAATTATTTGGTTTTCTTGTGGAAATTAGTTATTTTTGTCCTATGTAAAAATTAAACCCAAAAGAAAAATGTCTCTGATCTAATAGAAGTAAACATAGTCTCTTTAGTCTAGATAGTCCTAAGTGTGAGGTTGGGCTAAAGTGCTTTTGAGCTATATGACATTGGTCTTCCACCAAGTTCTATCTATATATAGACTTCCAGGTTTTCAAAATAGAATTTTGACCCAAAGTTGTCATTTCAAATACTCTGAATAAATTCTTTGCATAACTAAAGTTACATTGAAGCCATCTATATAGTTTTATTTTGTTTTTTCTTTTTCCTTTTGTGGCACTGGGGATCAAACCCAGTGCATCTTGCAGTCTGAGTCAGTTACATCACCAGCCTTGATCATTTTCAAAAGTGCTTTCATAGTTGCGTTAATTTGTCAGGAAGGTGTGACATGCAGTTACCACAGATTTTAGGATAAAGAAACAGACTCAAGCCAGCTTGAATGTGGCATGTCCATAATCCTAATACTATGCAAGCACATGGCTTCAAGGACAGCCTGTTCTACATACCAAGTTCTAGTCCAACTAGAACTACTTGGACCCCATCTTAATAGAAAAAAAGAAAAGGTTAATAATCTGTTACATTGGTAAAGATCTTGTGGCTATTTTGAATCAAGAACCTGGATTAAACTGAAACTTCTGTCTTCTATTGCAGGTCCGTTTCAAATACATACCTTAGCAAATAAACTGTCTTATACTGATTTTACCTGGAATTACATTTCCTCAGTTATCTAGGTTATTTTAAGAGTAGGGTAGTTTCCATAGACTCCACATGATGTTATTAATTTTCATTAAAAGAAAGTGCAGGAAGGTGAAAACATGCCAAGATGTATCTTTCTTCTGTCAGGTTATAAATTAAACTGGTATTAACAACAAGTCAGTTGGCTTACTGAATATTATGGATAATGATGTTCAGTGATTGAAGTATCCAACAGTCTTCAAGTATGTGAAAGCATGAAGAAAGATTTTGCAGCAAAAGTTGGGAAATAAGGGCTGCAGAGATTGCCCACCAATTCGAACCACTGGCTATTCTTTCAGAGGATCTGGGTTCAATTCCCAACATCCTCATAGCAGTTTACAGCTGTCTGTAATTCCATTTGTGGGGAGACCTGGTGCCCTTCTGAGTCCTCTGCAGGCATTAGGCATGCATGTGATACACAGACATACATGTAGTTAACTGTAAGAGAAGAACAGATGGAATTTTCAACTGTATCTTTAAGGTTTCCAATTAGACTGGTTATAGACTACTCAGCTATAGCATGAACATGATAACATCAGAAGGGCAACTGAATATGTGTTTCAAAGTTACTGTTTTATGCATGTGTGAAAAAGCTGTTTCCAAAGCTCTGTACTAGTTATATGTGATCTACACTTGAACTCTCATAGGCATGAAAAGCATGAGAGCCATCTGCTTAAGGATGCGAATCATCAGTGTTCTCCTCTACACATTGCAAAAATTATTAAGATATACACCTAATTTTTAAATTCCAAATTAAAATGTTTCATTTTATTTTACCATCAAAATGATTTTATTTTTAGGCATTGGTGTTTATTTGTCCCTTTTATAATATTTTTCAATTCTATGTAATTTCATTTTGGTATGCCATTATATTTTAAATTTTTTTATCTCTGCAGATACTTTTTGGCAAGTTTCTATACGAAGTATGATCCAACTCACTTCATCCTAAACACAGCTTCTCTCCTGAGTGTACTTATTCCCAAAATGCCACAGCTGCATGGTGTTCGGATCTTTGGAATTAATAAGTATTGAAATGTGTCTACAGTTGAATGAAACTGTTAGAGCTACTGTATTTCCTGAAAGGAAAGTGTAGTTAGTGAACTACGCTGTTTCTGTGATAATGCGAAAAAAGAGGTACTTACATTGGAGGGCCAAATACTGGGCCTTCATAGGCTGTCTTAAAGTGCAGAACTCTACTTAGGGATGGCACTGTCTAATGTGCGTGGTATATTTCTGAAAGAGGCTTTACAGGCAGGCTGGGCAGGCCCAGCTTATAAAATGGTGGTAGCACAATGAGGGTACAGTAACTAAACCCAAGGAAATGAGGGATTTGTATGAAACCAGGACCAGCTTATAGTAAATGGGCATTATGTTACAGAAGGAAAAAAATTCCAATCATTCATAGTCAGTTTAAGCAGACTTATAGAAAGCAGAATCACCTGTATACATGTTTTTATTACTGTACACATTCCACTTTATATGACATACACCCTCTTGTTTTATACAATCCCCTTCCTACCTTATATGTGTACTTTTTTGGTTTTCCCAGTTATTTTGTGTTGATAAAGGAGGTCATGTTTGCATTTATTGCATTACAGAGTTTGTGAAGGTTCACCTTCGTGCCTCACTCTGACAGGAGATAGGCAGGTATAATAGGACAAGGCTCTAAGTCAACAATCTCATTTTGGAACAAAGTGGGTTTTACTGCTTTTCCAGAAGCAAAGCTGCTAAACCAATTAAATGAATAATTTATTTAAAGTAGCTGAGATTTTGTGTAGCTTGAAAGTATTGTTCAGTTGGTGGTGCAAGCTGTTAAGTCTGTCATTCTTTAGAAAAGGAAATGCAGTATGCAGCCAACTGCTATGGGCAGAACTGAAACAATGAATTCTCTGTTAGCAAGTCTAAAGTAACAGATAATATTGTATGGTCTTAGTCTCCTGCTCTTGATCCCCGCAGTTTGCCTATTAATGTTTCCTTTAAATATGCGACAATGTCAAATGGTACCTATGTCCACAGCAACAACTATATTGAATTCTTGTGACTTGGGGACTTCCTAGAGTTGCTAGCATTAATTGTATGAAATTACTACTACTATGAGGAGTAAATACATTTCTAAAATGTTAAAAGATAAAGCTGAAAAACTTAGTAGCATAAGATTAAAAACTGTTGTAGACCAATTTGTAAATCGATTTGTGGGAATAAACAGACTTTAAGGGTAGTGATCATTGTTTCATATTTCAAAAGTACTGAGTTTAGAAATCACTTGTATAATACTGCCTTTGTATGTTTGTCTTTATGTGTTTTTAAATAACTGGTAATTGATGCTTTAATAAAAAAAGTTTTGTGTGTGTTTAAGATTATTTTAAAGGTTTTCCAAAGCAGTCATCAGAACTACATTGGCACTTTTAAGATTTATTTTTAAGTTAAACAGAGAACTCTCTGTAGAGGATTGTAGAATGGCAGAAAAACACTTAAAGAAATGCTCAACGTCCTTAGCCATCAGGGAGATGCAAATCAAAACGACCCTGAGATTTCACCTTACACGCATCAGAATGGCTAAGATCAAAAACTCAAATGACAACACATGCTGGAGAGGATGTGGAGAAAGGGGAACCCTCCTCCATTGCTGGTCGGAATGCAAACTTGTACAACCACTTTGGAAATCAATCTGGCGCTTTCTCAGACAAATAAGAATAGTGATTCCTCAAGATCCAGCTATACCACTCCTAGGCATATATCCAAAAGATGCTCAAGTACACAACGAGGACATTTGCTCAACCATGTTTATAGCAGCTTTATTCGTAATAGCCAGAACCTGGAAACAACCCAGATATCCCTCAGTTGAATGGATACAGAAATTGTGCTACTTTTACACAACGGAATACTACTCAGCAATTAAAAAGGAAATCATGAAATTTTCAGAGAAATGATGGGACCTAGAAACATCCTGATATCTCATCCTGAGTGAGATATCTCAAAAGCAGAAAGATACTTTTGGTATATACTCACTTATATAGACCTATAAGGATAAATATACTGAAAGCTATACACCTAAAGAAGATAAATAAGAAAGAGGACTCCGGTAAGATGACCCGTCCTCACTTAGACAAATGGGATGGACACTGGATGTAGGAGCAAATAAGTAACAGGACAAGAGCCTACCGCAGAGGGTCTCTGAAGGACTACCTAGCAGTGTTCAGGGATAGCCCACGGTAGCTTAGTGTCCAAATGGGTTCTCTAATGAGGGGAACAGGGACTATTTCTGACATGAAGGTCTTCTACACAACCCCCCCCCCTCGGGGGAGGAGCAACCTTGCTAGGCCACAGAAGAGGACATTGCAACCAATCCTGAAAATACTTGATAAGCTAGGGTCAGATGAAAGGGGAGAATGTCCTCCCCTATTAGTGGACTTGGAAACGTGCAGGGAGAAGATGAGGGAGGGAAGGTGGGATCGGGAGAGAATGAGGGAGGGGGCTTCGACTGGGATACAAAGTAAATAACCTGTGATTAATATAAAAAATTTTTTTAGCAGGTTCCTAGGTTGTTTCCTGTTTTCTTCTGATGTCCATCCTCTTTGCCTTTCAGGATGGGGATTGAGCATTTTAGTTAGGGTCCTCTCTTTTGCTTAGTTTTTTTAGATGTACCGATTTTAGTGGGTTTATCCTGTGTTGTATGTTTATATCAGTGAGTATATCAAAGCAGATGCTGAGCCTGATGGCCAACTGTCTGGCAGAGTGAATAGAATTTTATGTATTAAGTGGGAAATAGCAAGAGCTGGAGAGGACAGGAACTCCACAAGGAGAGCAACAGAACAAGATAATTTGAACACAGGGAACTTCCCAGAGACTCATATTCCAACCAAGGACTATTCATGGAGATAACCTAGAACCTCTGCACAGATGTAGCCCATGGCAGTTCAGTGTCCAAGTGGGTTCCGTAGTAATGGGAAGAGGGACTGCCTCTGACATAATCTGATTGGCCTGCTCTTTGATCACCTCCCCCTGAGGAGGAAGCAGCCCTACCAGGCCATAGAAGATGACAATGCAGCCACTTCTGATGAGAACTGATTGTCTAAGATCAGAAAGGAGAGGAGAACCTCCCCTATCAGTGGACTTGGGGAGGGGCATGCATGCAGAAAGGGGAGGAAGGGTGGGATTGGGAGGGGAGGAGGGAGGGGCTTATGGGGGGATACAAAATGAATTAAAGTGTAATTAATAATAATAAAAATTTTTTTTAAAGTTTTATTTTTAAGGAACTGGATTTGTAAAATTAGCTAAAATGTTCCTCTGTTTAACTTTGTTGTTGGCTTGTTTGGGTGTTTCAAGATAGGGTCTTTGTAGCTCTGAAACACTGTAGACCAAGCTGAACTGGAACAGAGATCCACCCCTCTGTGCCTCTCTAGTGCTCAGATTAAAGGCGTACACCATCACCACATAGCTTAACTTCATTTTTAAAAGCCTGCTTATTTACACATACTTAGAAATAGATCTTTGTTTTCTAAGCTTTCTACTTTCAGTACTTTAAAAATACTGACATAGCTATATGAGCTATATGGAGGTTTGCTGGATTTTGCTATTTTAGTGCTACAGAATGTGTAAACAACAAAAAACAAGGGAGGACTCTGGCCAGGATGCTCGGTCTCCATCCTGAAGTGCAGAGGATGGACATCAGAAGAAGAAAACAGGAAACAAGTTAGGAGCCTCCCACAGAGGGCCACTGAAAGGCTCTGTCCTGCAGACTACCAAAGCAGATGTTGAGACTTATGGCCAAACTTTGGGCAGAATGCAGGGAATCTTATGAAAGAAGTGGGAAATAGTAGGATCTGGAGAGGACAGGAGGTCCACAAGGAGAGCAACAGAACCAAAAAATTTGAGCACAGGGTTTTCCTGAGACTCGTGCTCCAGCCGAGTACCATGCATGGAGATAACCTAGAACCCCTACACAGATGTAGCCCATGGCAGTTCAGTGTCCAGGTGGGTTCCATAGTGGTAGGAGCAGGGACTGCTTCTGACATGAACTGATTGGCCTGCTCTTTGATCACCTCTTCCTGAGGGGGGAGCAGCCTTACCAGGCCACAGAGGAAGACGATGCAGCCACTCCTGATGAGACCTAATAGACTAGGATCAAAAGGAAGAAAAAGAAACGCTCCCCTACCAGAGGACTTGGGGAGGGGCATGTGTGGAGAAGGGGGAGGAAGGGAGGAATTGGGAGGGGAGGAGGGAGGGAACTAGAGGGGGGATACAAAGTAAATAAAGTAATTAAAAATAAAATTTAAAAAAATTTTTAAAAAGGAAAAAAAAACTTCTTTTCTAGAGGTGCTCACAGCATCAATACTCCCAAGAACTGAGGAATACCATGGAGGTAAGGGTACAAGATGGGTGGACATTAACAAGCCATAGACCTCTATCTGAGACAGCATTTAAATACATCTAAACACCGCTAAATAAGAAGTGGGAGGTAAAACACTCTAGAAAAGATTATTGGTGGTAGTAGTAACAGATGTTGAGATTCTTGAACACCAGAGATGTGTTTGAGGAATAACAAGAACAGCAGCTGATCTCCAAACAGTACAGCATGGCCTTTGTTACATGAGGTTCAAAATCTTAGAAATAGGTGGGTTTTATTATTAGGCCAACAAAGTTACACAAAAGATGAAAAGGATTGATTTTATTTAAAGCTCACTAATTGCTGTGGAAAATAAGCTAAGGATAGAAAACTGAATATTCTGGAACCTACTGCAGCCAAAGAGCAGTTCACACTAATCAGCAAGTGAAATGAGTGGTCAGATTTGCACTGTGAGGATAAGACACTCATGAATAGCAGAAGGAGGTGAGGTGATTCAATAATATGGTCTGACTCTTCAGTTGACTGTGTTAAACCTGAAAAATGCCGATTTCATAAATTTAACCTTTAACTATTTGGAAAATAACTCCTTATCTGGATGTTGTGTCGTGCCTATAGCTGAGGAGGGCTGCTGAGAGTGCAAGGCCACCTTGTCACAGTAACAACAAAGCCTAATTAAGTCTAATGAAGGTAGGGGACATGCTGGCAACTTGGAAGTATTAATGAGCCACCAGTCTAAGCATTCAGCAGCAGCTCTTTTATGACTTTAATTACAAATTTATTTATTTATTTGTTTATTTATTTATTTATTTATTTTAGTTTGTACAGGTGTTTAGTGGCTGCAGAGGGTGTTCCAGCTCCTAAAGCTTGAGTTACAAGGGACTTTGAGTTTCCCAAGAATGGAACACAGATGTGCACCATCTCTCTGGCCTGAAGACTAAAAGTATTGAAAAAGCATTACTACAGCTGAGACTATTTTCTGGGCAACAACATAAAATAATCTCACATTTCTCCCACTTTAGGTGATTGCTCTGAGATCTACTTGGGTTTTATTGTGTAGAGTACAAGCTAAATACACGAGGTAATGAGACGAGAGGTGTCTATGATACTCTGGTCTCCTGTAAGCAGTCAGTTACTACAGCTGTTTTGATTTGAAAGCAGCATCACTGATTTCACTCTAGTCACAAAAACATCGCATCTTCAACATGAGCTATCAAGTGGTGGTTGCTCCTTCGTGTGTTTAACAAAATGATTTATTAAACAAAAAGCTCAGAGCTTTTCTTGTCAAAATATATGTCGTTAATTTTAGCTTATCTTAACTAGTGAAAGTTTGAGTTACATATTATGCGCGTATTAGTTATGTCTTTTATATGAATACATATCCCAGTAAATACAACCCCAAATTTCGGATTCTATTTTGAATGAAAACAAATGTAGCATAACTCAACAAAATTTAATTTATGCCTTTTAACAGAATAGAAAGGAACTATCTTAGATTAGTGGTTTTCAAGCTGTAGGTCGTGACCCCCTTTCGGGTGGGTCAAACAATCCTTTTACAGGGGTTCTGTATTACATACTTGTACATATCAGATATTATGATTTGTAATCATAGCAAAATTACAGTTATGGAGTAGCAACAAAATAATTTTATGGTTGGGGGTCACCACAATGTGAAGAACAGTATTAAAGGGTCACAAACATTAGAAAGGTTGAGAACCACTGTCGTATTGAAGTCAGGCTTCAGTAAAGTGCCCTAAGTGTGGGTGGAGTGGTGCTAATAAGGGAAGTTAGAGTGACAACATTTTCATCTTGTCTAGTTTGAAGAAAAATAACAAGTACATTTTACATGGTTTTCACGTGTCCAATAGCGAAAACAATCCTTATAAACGTCAAGTTCAAAACGTTGAATATTTTGGGGACAAGTAATCATACTACTTCAGCTTTATTGGGTAATGTTTTCTCTCTTAAGTGGATGTTGGGCTTAGGTAAGTTTTGTTTTTCTCAGTGGTTTTTCAGTAACCTAACACAGTTACAAAGTCTTATTACTAAAAATGTTAGCCAGCTATGGTAACAACATGCTTATGATCTTGGGACTTAGTATGGTCTACATAATGAGCTCCAGTCTAGCCAGGACTACATAGTGAGACCTTGCCTCAAAGTAAAGAAAACTTAAGGGCTTTTTGTGTGTGTGGTTTATTTTGTATTATGACTTATTATCTAACCCTTGATAAACAACTATGGAAATGGCTCACCTATAGTTCTAAGGGTCTAGAATTGGAGATTTGTTTCTTAGGTAAGGTCTCTGTATACTAGTGTATAATTGTATACTGTATAACTCTAAATCCTCCTGCTTCAAGTTCTGAGTGCTGAAATTACAGGTGTGCACAGTTCTGCCTAGCTAAGTTTCTCTATAAATTTAAAATTAGCATATAAGCTAAATTGTCTTTGTCTTTGCATTCTTCATAAGTAAATATTAAGAATCTCAAAAGAATTACAGTTAGAAAATAAATTGGCATTCTAAAATGAATAAAATTATTTTTTCCACTTAAGCAGCACTAAGATTTTTATTGTTAGTCTTACTACACAGAACAAATACTTCAAGTCTTTTGTATTTTTCTTGACCATATTATAAAGAAGATAAATATGTGGGGGAGTTTCTTCATCCTCTAGTTTTCAAATCGGTGAACAACAACAACAAAAAATAATGTATTAGCTATTTCCTGGGAAAATACAGCAGTCCTTTGAAACATGTTCCTCTCATGAATTCTCAAGCTATGTGCTTCGCTCTTTGCACTGTACGTGTACAGGAAGGGTAGAGATTGACTCTCTCCCTTCCCTACAACTACACATGGATTCTACATACTTTGAGAGTTTGATGCTTCCTCAAAAGTCAAATTTGTGCAATACAGAAGTTCTGCTTTGTGGAGTGGTGTGCATCTAAAATGTTCCTCCAAAGGCCAGCACTAATGGTTTCATTGCCATACATGATGTTATTATGAGTTGGTACCTATTCAGAGTAGGTCCCTGGGGTCATATGTCCTGTCCTGGAGCCATTCTCTGTATTTGTTTCTTAGCTGTCAGTGAGGTGAGCATGGTCTTCTAACATGTGCTCCCATCATGGTTCTCTGTCTGATCTTAAAGCAATGGAGTCATCCATACATGAAGTAAGGAAATTTTGATACATTGTAGACACATATTGACCTCAAAGACACTGAAACAGTCACCATATGACAAATGTGCTATTGTTACCTTCAAAAGGACAGAATAGTTGCGGTATGAAGATACCCTAAGGACAAGCTGGATCTCAGCAAACAAAGTGTAAGGAAAAAAAATCTTCAAAAAATGAATGCAGAGTGACAGTATTGCCTCTAGTAGGATTTTTTCACATTAGATGGTAGTGCTTAATAAAGAAAACTGGAAAAGAGAAAGGTGGCCATAGAGCGCATGGCAGATTTAAAACAGGTATGTGAGTGAAGTGCGAAGTAATTCCTCAGGCTTGAAATATTTGCCATTAAAAGCACTAAGTTTATTTCTACTGCCTTCATCCTTTGCCTATAATCTGGACTTGATCTTCACTGTGATTTTTTCAACACAAAGATAAAGAGACAAGCAGCCTCAACCAAACTAGCTCAGGCACCGTTGCATTGTTCACAGTTTAATGCATGACTAGTGCTGGTGGCTATTCAACAGTAGTTCTCTAGCAGTTTGCGATGCGTGCCTCCATAACATGGATTGCAGTCACTTCCAAGCCAAAGCCGGTAGAGGAACCAGATGCAGAAACCAGGAATTATGTCATGATCCTGCCAGGGTAGAGATACAGCCACTCAAACCACTCAGCCTTCCCCAGGTTACATTCTACTTAGTGTATATTCCCCTCTTCCTATTGCCAGTTACCTGCCTTTTGCTCTTAGACTTCAGAACCTTGAAGACTGAGGGTGCATCTTAAGGTGTTAGCTCTCAAAACCAAGAAAGTACCTGCCCCAAAAGAAAAATCCCAAGGAATGCATGAGAAAGTAAAATCCAGGCAGGCCTATAAGGAGTAGGTGAGTGTAGTCCTAGTTACTATGGAGGCTAAAGAAAGAATTGCTTAAGTCCAGTAGTTGAGGGACAACTTGGACAACATAGCAAGAACCTCAATAGTTGATACGTACAGTATTTTATACACATGTACACACATCTTAGTGTTGTAAAATTTTTTCCTGTTAAGTTCATCTGAATGGGGGTTGGGGATTTAGCTCAGCAGTAGAGCACCCTGGCTTCAGTCCTTGGCTCTGGGAAAAAAATAAAAATAAAAAAGACAAAATTCATCTGAATGTTACAAATGAGTTTGTCTTCCGGCATTTAAGCAAACAGGCTCCAGAGTCAAGGTTGCGCTGTCTCAGTTCTAATGTTAGTCTGCTGCAGTTACTCTATGACTTTGAATTATCCAAATTTTGTAGCCCAATTGCCTGTAAATGAGGACATTAAGCATAGTACCTCCTGGATGTCCCTCCTGAGCATTAACAATAAGACTGTTACAGAAGTGTTACTTTATTATTACACCTCAAGGAAAAATGTCTCAAAAAATAAGCTCAATGATGTAATTATGAATTTAATTATTTGTATCTGCTGCTACAATGTAGTCTGCTAGTCCAGTAAGATTTACTTTTTTTTTTTTTTTTTTTAACTCAGATCTTCACTCTTTGCAAACCAAAGATGTGTATGCCAGCCCTTCCCAGCCTTGCATTGTAATGCCTTTGCTTACTATAGTTTTAAAGTTTAGGTAGGGAAAAGATTCTGGACACATCCATTTGAACATACAAGTTCACAAACTAACAAAAACAAAACGATTCAAGTACATGCTACACGAAAGTTGAATACACAGATATCTGGGACAAAATGCAGCGCAGAAATATTTTTTTTAAATGTTTGCCACCTATTTGACCGAGTTTGTGATAATAAAGTGGACAAGCGACAGGTGTTTCACTTGCTGCGATTTTAGACTGTACAAAGAGAAACACTTCATTCTCTGGGAACCCAGCGCTAGTTTTACTAGAATTCTGATTTCTAGTGAAAATATTCTTTCTCAAAAAAACGGCAGGTTTCTCAGGCCACTACCTTTAAGTCTGGACTGTTTCCCTAAAACAGAATGACAATGTACCCTATTTTTTTTCTCATGGTGGCAACAAAATTCTAACGGAAGAACCCTTTCTTATAACGTGGCACAGAGTGGACACAGTGCAATCAGAGCTGAATTCGGACATCTCTTCATGAGCCGCGATCACTGTGACTTTGCGGACGTCTCGGTGCTCAGAAACCTGGGAGGGACACCGGAAGGCAACCTGAAGTCTCAAGAGGTCATCAAGCATTTCTCAAGCCACAGGAAGCACCACCGGCCCAAGGACTGTGGCGCTCCCGTGACGTCACTTCCGGCGCCTAAGCCTAGACCAGGCGACGGCTGTTTCTCCAGAAGGTGACTGCACTGGCTTAACATCCAGCCTCCCTGAGTGAGGCTTTTTGCTCCCCACCGACAGAGACTCCGTCGCTTCCCCGCCAGCTAGTTCCAGCTGTGCTCAGACTAAGGAAACCGGACTCTTCTGAAGAGGCTGCGGGGGCTCGATCGCATCTGCGAGCAGTTCACGCCCATCTCAGTCTCTGCAGGTCCTCTTCCCCTGTTGGTAAATTGTGTTTCTAACCCCAATTTTGTCCATTCTTCATGTTTTACAGTGTGGGAAAGCTAGGGTGTTTATATTTAGGGGTGGATTGCTATCATTTTTGAGGGATGGCGGTAGATTAGCAAGAAGCTTGGGGTGGTAAACCTATTAGAAAAAGTGGAGATGTGAATCCAAAGACATGTCTTTGCCGAGATTTCGTGAGGTTTTTGGTTTGTTGTAGGTTTTTTTGGATGAGCTTTCTGAGAGGACTTGTTTCCAAATTACAAAATTAAATCCTGATTAGTGTGCGTATACGTTTATAAACTGTCCAAAGGCTATACACTCAGTTTTGGAGAGAGGGCCCAAGAAATGAGAGGCCTTTATTTTTCATCTGTTGTATTTGCCGTTAATATTTAAAAAACACGTAATTTTAACATCATTTTAAATAAGACTATCCACATAGATATATACTATAACATTAACTGTTGTATAAAGTTGCAGGGCTGAACATTGTTTACGCAGAATGCCTGAACCAGAAGTGTTCCAAATTTCAAAAGCATCTTTTTTTATTTATTTTGGAATGGGCCATATATATGACCAACCTAAGAATGAAACCCAAGGATAAATGTGAAATTCATGTTTTATTGGCATCCTATAAGCATAACCAAGGCAATTCTATATAATGTTTTAGTGTTCCTTGTGTTTCCACTAACAAGTCAGGCAAGTAGAGGAGTTTCGAGTTTCACCTTAGGGATGTTCAACTTGGAATATTAATAAATGTATGATATCTGTTTGTCTCTTGCAAAACCTAATTTATTTCAATTCAGTGATTTCTAGTGCTTTTATAAGATTTTGATAACTTTTACAAACGTTCTTATAATCCTGTAAAACTGCATATTAAAAAAACAAATACTATTTTAAGTAAGTGAATTAATCGCAAATAACAGTTCCAAATAATAAGTCTGTAATTCTCTTCTAGGAATTATTGTCGAGTAGTAAGTATGCTAATATTAAGTAAGACAGCCGGAGTGTTCTCCAAACCACCAAACAGTAAAGTTTATGAATTTTTAAGAACTTTTAATATTCTTCTGGGAACACGTTTTCATCATAAACTAGTACTGGGAATTGAAACCAGCTGTGATGATACAGCAGCTGCTGTGGTGGATGAAACTGGAAAAGTGTTGGGAGAGGCAATACATTCTCAGACTGAAGTTCATCTAAAGTAAGTACAAATTGTTTTGGTCATTCCCTGTTTTTTGTTTTATGACATTATTCTTTTTCATTTATCATGTATAAAAGTCAAGTTTTAGTAGCTAAATTCTTATTGTATTATGGAAAACCAATAAGTACCATTGTATATAGCTATGCCTCATGGTACACACTTTAATACCAGAACTTCAGAGGCACAGAGAGACAGAGTTTGAGGCTAGCCACTGCCACCTACTGAGAAACAAATATACCCAGCTTAAGCCATTTGTTGTCACTCAAGAATGTAAGACTTAAAATCATTAGAATATCAGAATTTTCAAAAGAAAGTGAAAATCCACATTTTAAATGTAATCTCTAGGTTTTATTTAGTTATTAGCTAATTCAAAACACGTTGAAATACATCTCTAAGTTATCAATTTCCAGTATTTGAAGAATGAAAAATAGTCTGGTATTTTTAATATTAGTTAGGCAGTTCTTCATCCTCTCTGATTTCTTTTTCACATCAGTAAACAAAAAGCAGTTTCCTTAGTGAACTGGGAATAATTTATGGAGGAAATAGAGCTTGAAAAACACACTATGGGAAATGGACTAAGTGGGTATCAGTATGGTCAATAGACTATTTAAAGGCCCTTCTGTCATCTGATGCACACATACTTACAAAGAGAGCTACCAGTATAAGGCAGTGTAAAGTTAATATCAAGCAATAATTACCATGATGTGGATATCTTGTTGTTGTTGTTTATTCTTTTAAATTTACTGAACTTTTGAATGTGACCTTCACTGATAGGCCTACTCTAAGCACATCATCTAGATGAGGTTCATTCTGTATCACTATTCCCTGCATATTTTCTTTCTAATCCTTTTTACAATTTATACATTTGTTTGCCTGGTCATAATCTTTCCTCCAATCAACCCTAAGCTCTGATAATAAGGTCTCTGTCCATATTGACAACTGTGCTACTCCTATTGCCTTGATAGGACAACATCTGCCTCACAGGTCCACAGTATAGATGCAAAGAGTATTGCTGTCCAAGTGGATATTACCAACAAAGGCAAAAGACAAATAAATAAATAGATAAATAGATAGATAGATAAATAAACAAACCTTCTACTTAGCCAGAGCATAGGCCACTTTAGTGGAATGCTAGGCAAGTATGTTCAGTGAATATCATCCACACAGCTCAACTTAACATGAATTGATAACCTGCCATTGCCAGGCAATACCTGGGGCACTGATTCCTAATAGAAATATGATATATGAATCTTTGCCTGAATAACCCACCATATCAGATGGGTTAGCTACCAGTGGTTGGGGTCAGGGTTAGGTATTCCCAAGTTCTTGGCCACAAAGAATAGAAAAGGGCTCACACAGATTCGCAAAAGAAGAAACAATTGTGCTGGTTATAAATGGATACACTGTCAAGATTGGCAGTGGGCCACATGGTTAAGAGTACTGAAGATTATTGTTCAGGGCTACTTTCATAGAGTTCAAAAAGGAGGGATTGATTACTCAGGTGCAGAGTTTGAGTGCTTGTTTATTGTGATTGATAGATTAGAGCATATACTCATGTTACCTACTGTGTGTGTCCCCTTCCATAATGCTTATGTTTTAATCTTATGCATGCCAGAACTTTACATAGGCATAAAATGGCAAATAGGAGATTCCCCAGAACGTTATTAGAGCAGTTTTTGCATTACAGCTGCACATGTATCCAAGCCAGTTCCGGCTGGATAAGCCCTTCTATTCTTATTCTTGAATGTTGGGAATACATTTGAATAAAAACTGTCTAAATTTGATTGTTACAGGGCCAGGGAAACTTCCACCATTGTTTAGAGATGGAAGTACATATAGCCCCTACAGGTCGGAAGGGAGCAGGTTCTGAGGTTACTTGGTGCATTATTTGGAGAGGGTTGTATGCATTGTGGGTACAGGTGAAGGAACTACAAGAGAGAGTGTGTGCAAAATCCAAAACCAGGCGGGGTTCCCGCCTCTCTTCTGTGTTTGTTTACCTCAGGCAGTGTGTAGTTTTATAATCTGATTTAGCACTTCACACTGAGACCATGCATATTTTCAGCTTTCTTGTCTATAATATCTGGGTAATCGTGATGCCATTGTGTTAAATATAATAAATGGGTATGTTTTAGAGCACTTGCTGCTGTTATTGACAGCTGTAAAAGGTTCAGCAGAAGCTAACCACTATCAATAGCAGTTCTGATACTATCAATGCTGATAGTGAACAGCTCCTTGCAAAGCAGTGTAGGAAGTGTGGTAATAAAGCACTGCTCACTAGCACATTCCCTTCTTCTTCTGTCCTTCTTCTCCCTCGCTTTCCCTCACCGTCCAGTCGTTGGAACCCTACCCCTCAAATACTGCTCTCGCCATGGTTCTTCTGTCCTTCCTCTCCTTTGCTTTCCCTCACCATCCAGTTGTTGGAACCCTAACCTTCAGATACTGCTCGCCATGGTTCTCCCTTCTCAGCAGTTTTGTTTAACCCTCCGTTTCCCCTTGCCTAGAGTCTAACTTTAAATGGTTTCCTTACTTTTGTATTCCCTTTCTTCCCTAATAATCTGCATTCTCTATACAAATTAAAGTATGGCTATAAATGTGTTTTTATTAATTATTTGAGAATAAGGCAATAGTTTTACTCCTTATTTGTCTTTATTGTTTAACATAGTTTGTATAAAATAAAATACCAAAGAACGCATGTATAAGACAGAAGGAAGAAATGAATGGGAGGAAAGGACTTGAATTCAAACTCTCAAATCAAGTAAATATTTTGAGGTGAGAAATGACAGTTAACAACAGATTGCTTTCCAGTGCTTACTGGCATCACCACCTAGGATGGTCTCTGAGAATCACAATAATAGCTCAAAAGACGTTGAATTTGGTGGTGGCAGTGAAAGTGCTATTAAACGGAACATTAAGTGCAGGTAGATAAAGGTAAACATGAATGTTGAGGCACGGTGAGATGGCTCATTAGTAAAGGCCCCTACCAACCTGAGTTCAATCCCTGGAACTCCACACAGTGGAAGTAGGACACTGACTCCTGCAAGTTGCCCTCTGACCCGCTTTCATATTCACCAGCTCTCCCACAAAGAAATACAAATGTAATCTAAAGAGTATAAAGTAGGGCTGGAGAGATGGCTCAGTGGTTAAGAGCACCGTCTGCTCTACCACAGGTCCTGAGTTCAATTCCCAGCAACCACCTGGTGGCTTACAACCATCTATACTGAGATGATTCCTTCTTCTGGCATGCAGGTGTACATGCAGAGGAGTACTCATATACATAAAAAAGCAAATACATAAATAAAACAAATAAATTTAAAAAGTATAAAGTAAATTAAATATTTAAAAATGAGCCTTGAAACTAAATGATTCCAAGACTACTGCTGCTAGTAACAGATGAGGACTATCAGATGCATACATTTAAATAAGTTTTAAAATTTTATTACAAAATGTACTATTGAGATAAAATTCTGGGGCTGGAGAGATGGCTCAATGGTTAAGAGCACTTGGCTACTTTTACAGAGGGCCTGAGTTCAATTCCCAGTAACTGTATAGTGGATCACAACCATTTATAATGGGATCTGATGTCCTCTTCTGTCATGTAGGTGTACATGCAAATAGAGGAGAGGAGAGGAGAGGAGAGGAGAGGAGAGGAGAGGAGAGGAGAGGAGAGGAGAGAAGGAAGGAAGGAAGGAAGGAAGGAAGGAAGGAAGGAAGGAAAGAAAGAAAGAAAGAAAGAAAGAAAGAAAGAAAGAAAGAAAGAAAGAAAGATTGATTATTTTTTTAAGCCAATACTAAATCTTTATTAGCAGACTACACTGGGTGTTTGGTACTCGAGTAAGGTCCTAAGCCTTTCTTTTTTTTAAATTTTCATATATGAATTCTAGTTCTGTTTTTTTGTTTGTTTTTTTTTTTTACTTTATTTATTCCAGTTTATTCACTTTGTATCCCCACTGCAGCCCCCTCCCTCATTTCCCAGTCTCATCTACCCTCCTTCTTCTCACCCTGTGCCCTTTCTCAACTAGGGGAGGACCTCCTCCCTTTTGATCTGACCCTAGCCTATCAAGTCTCATCAAGGCTAGCTGCATCATATTCCTCTGTGGCCTAACAAGGTTCCCCCCCACCCCACCCAGGGGGAGGTGATCAAAGAGCCAGCCACTGAGTTCATATCAGAGACAGCCCATGTTCCCCTTAGTCAGGAACCCACTTGGAAACTGAGCAGCCTATGACCTTCCTTTGAGCAGGGGTCTAGGTCCTCTCCATGCAAGGTCCTTGCTTGGTTGGAGTATTGGTCTCTGCAGGGACCCTGGTTTCAGGTTTTTTGGCTCTGTTGTTCTCCTGATGGAGTTCCTGTCCCCCTATGTTCATAGAAGCTTTATTTGTAATAGCCAGAATCTGGAAACAGCCCAGATGCCCCTCAGTGGAGGAATGGATACAGAAAGTGTGGTACATTTACACAATAGAATACTACTCAGCAATTAAAAACAAGAAAATCATGAAATTTGCAGGCAAATGGTGGGAACTAGATCATCCTGAGTGAAGTAACCCAGAAGCAGAAAGACACATATGGTATATACTCACTTAGAAGTAGATATTAGCCCTATAATATCGGATAAACATACTAAAATCTATTGCCCTAAGGAAGCTAAACAACAAGGAGGACCCTAGGGAAGATGCTTAATCCTCATTCAGAAGGGCAAACAAGATAGACATCGGAAATAGGAGAAGACAAGGAACAGGACAGGGGCCTTCCACAGAGGACCTCTGAAAGATGTACCCATCAGGGTATCAAAGGAGATCCTGAGACCCATAGCCAAACTTTGGGCAGAGTGTCGGAAACCTTATGGAAGAAGAAGGAGATAAAATTATTTCTTTACATTCTCATTTCCTGAAATATATATAATATACCCCATATATATATATATTTTTACAGACCCTGTGAGATTACTTCTCAGACTGTAATATAGTTACATGCTGCTGTATTTGTTGCTGGCCAACTTCCACCCCTGTTTTTCCCCTGCAAGGCCCTGAGTGTATTAGACAAGTGCTTTACCACTGAGCTGCATTCCAACCCTCCCTGCTGATTCGTAACATTTGAAATGATCATCCACTGTTTCACATAGACCCAAAATCTTAACTGCTAATTTTGAGCACTAGATTCCCAAATTTTATTTTAGGGTTGCAGGCCATCTCCTGTCCTGATGTGAACTCAAGTGCAGTATGTTTAAAAATAAACTCATCTTCACAAAACCGTCTTCATATTTCTCTGTTAGTATTTTTTTTTTTTTTCTCCTAGTCATCCCTACCAAGTATGAGTCATCTTTGATGCCTGGGCCCCTCATTCTTTTACCAGTTTAATATATAGTTACTTTAGATAAATAACTCTTCCACTAATCTCTAAAAATCTCTCCTCAAGGAGATTTATTTGAGCTAAATAGCCTGTCCTTCCTTCGTTCATGACCTCTTTGGAATGCTTTATAAGACTGTTCTAGTGATGTCACTCATCAGAAATAAACTATAGGGGTTTGACCACAGTGTGAAAAGACAGCAACAATATTTAACTCTTACCAGTCTTGCATTATAAGCAAACAATGTCAGTATACATACTAATACAGTGATTCAGGAATGCCTGTAAGTGTAGCGTTTCTTCTCGGATTTCTTACAGACTGTCTTTCTGTTTCAGAGCAGGCGGGATTGTCCCTCCAGTAGCTCAGCAGCTCCACAGAGAAAATATTCAACGCATCGTAGAAGAAACTCTTTCTGCCAGTAGAATCTCTGCACATGACCTCTCAGCGATTGCAACTACTGTCAAGCCAGGCCTGGCTCTAAGCTTGGGAGTAGGCTTATCCTTCAGCTTACAGCTCGTCAATCAGTTTAAAAAGCCATTCATTCCTATTCATCATATGGAGGCCCATGCACTTACGATTAGGCTGACCAATAAAGTAGAGTTTCCATTTTTAGTTCTTTTGATTTCTGGAGGTCACTGTCTGTTGGCATTAGCCCGAGGTGTTTCAGATTTTCTGCTTCTTGGGAAGTCTTTGGACATAGCACCAGGTGACATGCTTGACAAGGTACTGTTTCAGAGGCCACTCTCCTTTCCTTCTGTTGGTTCAGTTGTATTGCAGTATACAGACTGTTCATCTAGTTGATTCTGAACAGTAACTGAGTAGACTGAAAAACTATTTTTAAAAATTAGTGCAAAAGGCTGGGTGGGGTAGCAGTGCAGACTACAAAATCAAAGCCCAACCTTTGCTGTTTAGTGAATGTGAGGCAAACCTGGGCGATCAACAAAGTCTTGTCTTAAAAATCAAGAGTTGTGGCCTGGCATGGTAGAGCATACCTTTAATCCACATACTTGGGAGGCTGAGACATTTGGATCTCTGAGCTTGAGGCCAGCCTGGTCCACCTAATGAACTCCAGGGCAGTCAAAACTACATAGAGGAAAACAAAATAAAGCAAAACACAAACAGAAAAGCAAACCCAATAGCTGTACTAACTTTAATTTTTTTCTATTAAATAGGGTTTCATTCTGTAACCTTTGCTGAACTCAAAACTCCGTGATCCTCCTGCTTCAACCTCCCATGTGATTGGGTTATGGGTGTAAGTCACCACCACTCTGTCCATCCGAATTTTGTAATTTTTAGTCATTTAATAAAATGGTAAGAATTTTTTATCTATATGTAAAAGCTCAGATAGTTTGCAGACATTGCTATATACTTAGCCGAATACTTGTGAAAATGTTTGGGAAGCTAGCATGCTGCAAAAATGTAAGGAAATACAGAGTAGGGGCAAGTCATGACCATGCATGCCTTTAGTCTCAACACTTGGGAAGTAGGGGCAGGTAGATCTTTAAGTTCAGGGTCTCTTGCTCTGCATTGTGAGTTCCAGGCCAACTGGGGCAATGTAGTGAAACCCTATGAGGGAAAAGAAAATATATGTAAAGATTAACATGGAATTCAGATATTCATAATCAACTGCATAATTGCTAATATCACAGTAGATTTTCTTTTAGTGGTATGGAGCCTATTGCCATACATAAAAAAGCTGAAGTCATAGACAGAAATAATAGGTCACTTACTAGTTTGGTTGGCTGGTTGGTTGGTTAGTTTTTTGAGGCAGGGTTTCTCTGTAGCTCTGGCTGTCCTAGAACTCACTGTGTAGACCAGGCTGGCTTCAAACTCAGAGATTCTCCTGCCTCTACCTCCATGGTGCTGGGATTAAAGGCATGCCCCACCACTACCAAGCCAGATTCTTATTTTCAAAGTACATCATTAAATAACCATCTTCAACTTCAATTTTCCAAACCCAGTATAGGAGAAAAACTAGGGAGACAGTAATTGGACACTGCTGGTCAGCTCATTTGAAGGAAGAGTTTCCTGATTCCTGAAATTAGCCAAAACCCATGTATTCATTCAGGATTTTTAAAGAAATTTTTGGATTCATTATCTTTATATCTTAGTTTCAAAGTATATTCTATGACTCATTTAAAAGCATTTATTTTTAATGTCACCTTATTACATGTATTGACTTGCATGTTTTGAACCATCCCTGTATCTCGGATAAAGCTGACTTGGTCAATAGTGAGTAATCTTTTTCTTAATAATTTACAGTAAAATATATTGTATGAAAAAAGTTTAAATGTCTGTTCTTAATAGGTGGCAAGAAGACTTTCTTTAATCAAACATCCAGAATGTTCTACGATGAGTGGTGGGAAGGCAATAGAATATTTGGCCAAACAAGGAAACAGCTGCCATTTTACTATCAATCCTCCTATGCACAATGCTAAGAATTGCAGTTTTTCTTTTACGGGAATTCAACAAAATAGCTATAAGCTAATAGCGCTCAAGGAAAAAGAAGAAGGCATTGAGAAGGGACAGATCCTGTCATCAGCTGCAGACATTGCTGCTACGGTGCAACATACAACAGCGTGCCACCTTGCGAGAAGAACACATCGTGCTATTCTGTTTTGCAAGCAGAAAGATTTGTTATCTTCAGCTAACGCAGTATTAGTAAGCTTTGTCATCCTGCCTGCTCTAATATTACATGCTCAGTATGTTATTTACCTCCCACGGATCTAGTTGACTTTAGGATGAATAAACCTATGAGTTTCATCCTAGACAGTATAGAGTATAGAATTGAAACAGTGTATAGCCATTTTGAATGTAAACATTTTTATGGAGCATATCTGTAGCTTGTATAGGAAAAAAAAAATACCAAGGCTACATTTCTCTTTCAATATTAAAGAGTATACAATAAAGAAACCAGAATAACCACTGTATTATATAATAACTGTAGTTACTATTTTAGAAATGTAGGCTTCTTTTCTCCCTCTTTTAATGAAATCCCTTTAAATGTACTTACAAGTCTTGGTAATCTTTCTTTTTAGTGGGTCTTAAGTCTTACTTTGAAATTAAACTAAGGAAATGTGTAAATTCATCAATTTGGAAATAGAATATTAAAAATGAATGTTAAAGATTATGGTTTCTTAAGAGCTGGGTAGCTCAATGACAAAAAATTTAAAGCACAAAATTCAGTCTAAAATGCTATTTTATGATTGGAAATGTTGCAGAGACACTTTCTCATAATAAAATATCTTAAAATGCCAGCAATGAATACATGCTGGCATTAAAATTGTGATTACTCTATGTTTTTATTATGTAAATATATCACTCATCACTTAATGTAGTTTTTTAAAAAATGAAAATCCCAACCATTCTATTTTACCAATAAAGACTCAGGAGCCAGATGCGTGGGTGAAAACCTGCTAGCTCAGAGAGGTAGAGAAAGTACCCAGCTGACCTTCCATCTCAGCTCAAGTCCAGATTGAAAATAACCAAATGACTCACTAGCTCAATTGACAGCCCAGGAGGAAAAGGCCAGAAACCCTAGGCCAAAGGTTTGCTAACTCAAAGCCTCCAAAGCCAGGGAGCTGAGGAGTTGAAGCCAAAGCTAAAGCCAGAGCTTAAGCTAAAAGTCCTTTCTACTCTCCAGGCTGTCTTTAATAGCCCTCAACTCAAAGTCCCTCCTACTCTTTAATCCCTGTCAGCAAGAAGTTGCTCTGCTTCTTGACGTAGGGTTAACTTAATTAAAACCTGTGTGCATAAAGCTCTTAGATTAAAGGCATACGCTAGGGCTGGCTGAACTACACCATAACCACCTGTTTACAATAAACAGAAAGTTCTTGGACTGGGTGTGTGATAAGGCTCAACACCACCAAACACAAAACATGGTTTTATGGTTCACAAGGGGATCAAAGATGCTGCAAACAACTTGACCCCAAATGTAATTGATTGTTTCTTGTTGGATGAAGGTGGTTTTGTTCTCCAGATTTACTTAGCAGCTTGGTACATGTCTGTATGTCATAGCTAACACTCATCTTCTCAATTCTTTCAGGTTGTATCTGGAGGTGTTGCAAGTAACTTGTATATCCGAAAAGTGTTGGAAATTGTAGCAAATGCAACACAGTGCACTTTGTTGTGTCCTCCGCCCAGACTGTGCACTGATAATGGCGTTATGATTGCATGGTAAGTCGCAAAATTTACTCGTACTCATGTAAACAGTCTTTAACATCTTCTCACACTATATTTCCTTCCTTTAAATTTTGAGGCTATTGATTTTGTTTCAATGACTTTAGGAATGGAATTGAAAGATTACGTGCTGGCTTGGGCGTTTTACATGATGTAGAAGACATCCGATATGAATCAAAGTATGTAGTACGATTTATTGTGTTAATGCAAATTATATTATGAAAGAATATATATATATATATATAAAAATAAATAATACTCAAGGCTTTCTTTCATATATATATGAAAGTTTCATATATATATGAAAGTTTCTTTCATATATATATGAAAGTTTCATATATATATGAAAGTTTCTTTCATATATATATGAAAGTTTCTTTCATATATATATGAAAGTTTTTGTTGGCATTCTGGTGGTACTTTAAGGAAGATTAGTGGTTTTCGTGAACAGAGCTGAGAAATAGTTGATAAATATTTCTGCTACATAATCAAATTATAAAACTTTTAACAAGCTATGTAAGAATTATGGCCTATTTTTATAGGCCATGAATAAAGGTGGTACATTGTCTTATTTCTTATAAAGAACACATTTCAGGGCTGGAGAGATGGCTTGGCAGTTAAGAGTGTTCCTCTCTTACAGAGGACTGCGGTTCTGTTTCCAGCACCTACACTGTGCTAGGAGATCCAACATCCTGACCTCAGTGGGCTCCTACACACCGATGGAGGCACATACACATAAAATATTTTTAATAAAAGAAAAGAAACCATCTCCATGAGCTGTGCTTTTGTAATGTCAAGTGTTACCTAAAGACAGTGTGTTAGCAAAAATGTGAAGGTAACATTCAGGAGACTGTGTTCTAACTATATCCTACAAGAACAGTTGAGAGAAAACTGGAAGGCAGCTGTTCCCTGTGAACCTTATTTCCTCTCTCAAACAATAGTTCTAAGAGCACGGTTTTTAAATTTTCTATCAAGTTCTGTTCAAGTTAATCTGGGAACAGTATAGGACAAGTTTCATAATTTGATATAATTATATTTGAACATTGTTTCGTCTGATATTTTTAATTTCTCAGCACCAGAGAGTTGTGCTGCAGAAACCACCTTGTTAATGTGGATTGTGTCTGAAGGAATCCCTTACATTGCAGCCTCAGATGACAACCCAGTTGTGCCCTGTGGCAGTGGGGCTGGAGCTATCTTTATCCAGCTGGGGTCAGGTTAAATGAGCAGTATCACAGAGAACCAGAAACTTGAGGTTTCACTCACAGAGGAAGCAGAGATCACATGGGTGAGAGGTAAAGAGTGTTCCAGTCTAGAGGTGCAAAGGCAAGTTGAAAAGGACCAACCAACCTGTGAGCTCTGAACAGTCATAGAAACCAAGGGAACTGTAAAAGTATAAATAAACATAGGCTTGATTTTATGTGTTAAAATGCTATCACCATTTGACCTTTGTAAAATATTATTGGCTGTAGCATCTTTTGTTTTTTGTGTTTCATTTTAAGGATCATTTTTCCATTTGTTTTTGTTGTTGTTGATAGTTTGTGGAATCCAAGGTTTAATATGTGCTTAAACAGACACTATACTACATATACCCAGCCTTCATTTTGATTTAAACCTACCAATTTACAATACTTTCAAGCAGTAGAACTTGCAAGTATACCCAGGAATTAAGGTTTCCTGTGAATGAGGTAGAATTATTCATTGTCCTGGTTTATATATGCCTAAGAGTCATCACCCAGCCAGCTGTGATGGCGCACTCTGGGAGGCAGAGGCAAGTGGATCTCTTGTGAGTTTGAGGCCAGACTGGTCTGTAAAGTGAGTCCAGGACAGCCAAGACTACACAGAGAAACCCTGTCTTGGGGGGGAAAGTCATTACCACATATGCCGACGTTCCATTTCTTCTACTGTTGTTCAAACTACAAGCAGATAATGTGCAGAAGTAGTGACAGGTTATGAAGTCTGTCATAACCTGAGTTATGTGGCCTCTGATCTTCATGCAGATGTCCTCTGGGAATAGACATATCCAAAGAAGTCGCAGAAGCTGCCATAAAAGTCCCACAATTAAAAATGACAATTTGATTTTTGATTTTTAAAGATCTCTACAGGTAATGTTTCAAGCAATAAAATTTAAGTTTTAAGTTTTTGGTGTTAAATATGTTTATTAGGCATCAAGATTTTTATTATGCATGTGTGTATGCACTTTCTTGGAAGGGCACATGTATGTGCAAGTACACCCATTGTGAGTGTGCATGGTAGCAAGAAGTCATCCATATTCCAAGTGTCACACTCAGGATTGCTATCAACCTCCTTTGAGACCAGGCCTCTCATTGTCTTGGAGCCTTACCAATTAGACTAGAAGAAACTGCCCAGGGAGTTTCAGGAGTCCACTTTCTCCACCATCCAGCACTTATTATAAGTTTATACTGCCATGCCTGCCCATTTTACATACTTTTTAGGGATTAAACTTGGGACCATGTTAAAGTAAAGTACTTTACTTACTGAGATCTCTCCTCAGGCCCAAGACTTTTTTTTAATTAATTATTCACTTTACATCCTGATCTATAGTAGCACCCTTTCTTCTTCTCCCAGTCCCACCATCCTTTCCTCTTTCCCCTTTCCCCCTCACCCACCACTCCTCAGAAAAGGAGAGTGACCCCCTGTCCAATCCATTCCAGCACAACAAGTGGCATCAGAACTGAGCGCATCCTCTTCCCCTGTGACCTGGTGAGGCAGCCCTCCCTGGGGGAATTGGTCAAAAGCAGGTAACACAGTCCATGTGAGAGACAGCCCCGCTCCCCTTACTAAGTAATTTACATAAAGTACAACTGCTAATCGGCTACATATTTAAGTTCCTTTTCTAATACCTTCTTTTTCTGAAAGACAGTAACTGTATGTTATAGTTTTGCAAAAGAGAACGGCTTTTTATAAAAAGACAAAACAAAAACAAAACTGAAATCAAAAGGTGAAGGATTTACTGATGTTGGTAGGTGGGGGGAAAAAAGTCTTTGGGAGAAATAGTGGTTCTTTTCATTCCTGGATCCTTATCATAGATTCTATATCTTTTTCCCGTTCTTCAAATTAAAATAGAAACTAGTTTTTACTACTACTATACTAGACTGACATCTTTAATGAGAAATTTGTCGTAGTAAATTTAAAAGATACAGCCTAATAATTATTACGGCAATATTATCTAACGCGCTATCAATCAAATAAAGACACAGATAGCTGTTGTATTTTACAAAATAGCCTTTACCTGGACATTGCAGATATTAACCCTCTAACTTTACCTCTCAGCCCCAATCTCGAGCTACCTCTCATCCATCGTCCCAAAATACTTATTAATGTTCTCTAATCTCCTTCATCCATGCTGATCTGGCTGTATGCTCCTTCCCCACGCTAACCCAGCGCCAGTCCATTTCCTTCTCCTCTGATCCTGTCTCCTCTTCCTTCTTTCCTTGTCCCTGGACCCCAGTCTATGAACCCCAGCTTTAAATTAGATGGAGCAAGGTTTACACAACAAGGACAGGTGTACGTGAGAATGTGGTCATTTGAGCAGGGACAAGATCTTGGGGGCCAACAATTAACATTAAAACTCATAGCACCAGGCCAACCCCCAATAGAAATGTCAAAATTAAGCCAGGTCACAGCTATGTATAATCATAGACCTCTAAGTCACGACAAAACTTGACCATAGGATGTGTGTTATTAGTAAGTTTTCAGGCATCATGCTTGGAAGAGACTGTATGCTTTTAAATTGACTGATTTGGGCCATATACATTCACATCTACTATACTGTAAATTGTATTTACTAAAATGAAAATAAATGAGAAAGGTTTGTTTGTGATAAGTATCTTTGAAACTTGGTATTTCAGATGCTGTACATTTACCTTTTTTTTCTTTTCTTTTTCTGTCTATGTGCTATTTGTGACTATGAGCACAGTGTTGTTGGGGCTAGAGAACTGTGTTGTTAAGAGTACTACTTGTTCTTACACAGGACCCCAGCACCCACATGGCAGTTCACACATGTCCCTAACTCCAGTTCCAGAGAATCCAGCACCCTTTCTGACCTCCACGGGCACACATGTGGAACACAAACATTAATTTAAAAATATAATAAATCATTTTCTAAGGAACAGCGTTACTTATGTTCACCGGTTTTGCCAGTAGATGTTTATATTACACTGTCTGTACTGAAGTTTATTTTGTAAACTTTCTAACTTTTTAACATGTTTTATTGAAAAGCCGTAAGGTGAAGATATATATATTTAGCATAGAACAAAAACCCTTTTCAAGTGACTCACTTTATAGCATGCAACCTTCAGCCCTCTTGATCCTTCTGCCCCAGCATTCCAATTACGGAGTTACAGGTATGTGCCACCATTCTTGATTAGAGTGCAAACATTTCTTATTTTACTCCTATTTTAAGCAAACTTTCTTCGCAGAGAGTTCCATAAGTAATTCTTTTGTTCAATTTATGATCACCTATTTTCTCCTAGAAATAGAGCATCTAGCAATGGCTATTATTTCAGGTCACTTTTTATTGTTGTTACATTGCTATTGTATGACAGAATTGGTAAAGAAATAACAGGTAGAAGTAACAATTAGTTCTTAAGTTCACATTTTACATTTGGATTTGCATTTTGTAAATGTAATTATGAATTAACAGACTATTTTCCCTTTGCCACTAGTATCAGTACATATGAAAGAAAATTTACCAAATTTATATTATAAATATATTTATAATCTCTGTTTTGAAAATATTAAAAGTTGTTCCTGGTGCCATAATCATGCATGTATTTCAAAATTACTTCATGATATAAATAAGCTAACAAAATTGAGCGAATCCTGGAAAGCAACCATATTTTTAGTCTTTTGAGAGCTTGTCCATGAGGACTGGAAAGGAAGAAGATAGAGGAGGTTGGAGTAAGGGAGAAACACTGGACTCCACATATGCCAATGTGACAAACATAAGCCAACATTCCTTTACAGTGAAGTTAAGAGGTAGGCAGCTCCCTGGAACCAAATGGGCATTTGTTAGTTATTTTGTACTTTTTTTTATTTTGAGACAGTTATATTGGATGAACCTCCCAGGCCCTTGATTACAGATACAGTCCAGCACACCTGGTAAAGCTTAGTATGTTCTCTTGAGGCCTTTTCTTGTTTATAATTTTCAGAAAGAAATGATGAAGTAATCAAAATTAATTTTTAAGAGTTAAAGGTGTTTTCAGTTACTTCCCCTGGAATGACTGCCTTGCCAGGCCACAGGGGAAGAGGACACTCTCAGCCCTGATACATGTTGAGCTGGGGTGGATAGGAAAGAGGCTCTCCTTTTCTGAGGAATAGGGGAGGAGATGGGGAAGAGGGTGGGAGGGTGAGACTGGGAGGGGAGGAAGAATGGGGCAATGACCAGGTTGTAAAGTAAATGAATAAATTAAATAAACAAGCAAAGAAGGAAGGAAGAAAAAGAAAGGAAGAAAGAGAAAAAAGAGAAAGAAAGAATGAATGAAATTCAAAGTTGAGGGTGTCTTCACTCAAGGTTAGAGAGCTGTACAGAAGCAAGGCAGAAAAACAACTGTCGTACACGTGAACTCAGACATGGGTGGCACACACGGGGCTGCACAGGTTCGAGCCAGATGGGGGCACAGCCCTAAAGGAAAGTGAACATGAACTCACATCCCTAACTAAGACGCTGTCTTAATTGGCATTCACTTGCAAAGGAAGAATTACTTTTCTCCAATGGAGTCTCACGGTATATAAACCACACGCAAGGGTAGGCCCCATGCCCAGCAATTTATAGCCAACACAAAATAAACTCAGTGGCATTCTTACAGACTTTTGTTTCTTAATGCTTTGTTTGGGCATTTTTGTTTTACTGGTCCTTTGCTTATATATTGTAGTTTCCAGTTTTGTGTTTTCATAATATGTGTGTGTGTGTGTTTTAACTTAGGGATTTTGTTTGTTTCTTTCCAGTTGCAAACTAAAGAAACTTCCTGTAGATAATGGGATAGCGCTAGTAGCCAAACATTTTAATCATTCTACCTTATGTACCTGATGGCAGTGATTCCAGATGCTACTGTGAGTATTTAGATGTTACATATCACAGGTTTTAGAAGCCTCGCATAATAGTACTTATTATTTGACAGCTGAAGTGTTATAGTAAAAGTATTAACATGGAGGCTGTTTAATTCAGCATACCGACTCAAAACTATTTCTAACTCTTGAGATAAAAATACATAGGTACACACACATACACGTTATTCTACTCAAAACAGCCAATAAATCTGATACAAAAATTCTTATTTTTTTGAGGCAATATTGAACTGATGTTAAATTCCATGTGAAACACTGGAAAGAAAACATTTTCAGTATAAACATAAATAACTTCCATTCAAACAACAACACAAATTCCACCCCCTGAAAATACTGTATATTTTATTGCAATAAACAATATTTGTTTTCAGAAAGACCACATCAAAATTTTAAAATGCTTTTTTATTTTTAATTACTTCTTAGCTTTCTGGGGCCTCTGGGTTGGCTTTGTGTTCATGTTTCCCAAGCTTGTTCAAAAACACTATTCTTGGTCTTGATACATTTATGATATCTGTTGAAATTCCAGTTGAGAAGGAGAAGATGTTATGGGAAACATTGACCTTCTTTGCTGTTCTGAAGCGCCCCATGAAATTACTTACAGGAGGTATTAAAGTCAGAGAATCTTTTGGTTGGATTTTAGGTCTTGCTTTTCTTCTATGCTCTTTTCCTGGAAGTAAGAGGGCCACATTAAATGTCTCTCAATTCAAGGTCCCTAAGTATAATCTGATTACTCTTTATTTTCTTTGCCTAACTAAAACATGTAACAGCTTCCACACATAATCCTTAAAAGAATGTTCTTTTTTCTCCCTTTATAAAGGGGTTGTATTTGTATGTAGTAGTGTGTATGTGTGTCTGTGTGAATATATGTGATGTCTGTGGGTACCCACTGAAGCTGGATGAAGATGTGAGGGTATCACATCCCTCAGAGCTGAAATTAAAGATGGCTGTGAGCTATGCATGAGTGCTGCAAACTGAACTCAGGTCTTCTAGAAGAGCAGCACTTGCTTTTAACCACTGGGCTATCCTCCAGTCCTGCATTCCTCTTTTTACTTTTACTGCATTTTTTCTGACTCGTTATGTCATAGATTTTTTTTTTAAGGATTTATGTATTCTATGCATATGAGTGCTCTATTTCCATGTAAGCCTGGACAAAGGCATCAGACCCCATATAAATGGTTGTAAGCCACCATATGAGTGCAGGGGATTGAACTCAACTCAGGACTTCTAAGAGGAAGAACAGCCAGTGCTCTTGACCACTGAGCCATCTCTTCAGCCCCTAGATTTTTATTATAGAACAACATACACTGTCATTAGCCCCACTCTAAAGATAGCAGATTAATAAGCATGTGCATGAAAATAAGTAACCATGTTTATTCCCTGTTAAATACCTAATAAGGTCCTGGAGTGGTGGTTCAGCAATTAACAGCATGTAATGCTTGAGAGCCCATGTTCAGTTTCCAGCATGCACATCAAGCAGTGCACAACTGCCTACAACTCCATCTTCACTGGAATCTGATACCTGGCCTCTCAGGCATCTGCACTTGGGTACCCAGACACGCACACTACACAGAATTAAAAGGCATTTTTAAAAATAAAATAGAGGAGCTGAAGAGATGGTTGAGCAATCAGGAACACTGGCTGCTCTGCCAGAGGACTATGGCTCAGTTCCTGGCACCCACATGGCATCTCACAACTGTCAGTAACTCATGTTCCAGTAGATCTAACTTCCTCAATCAGTCATATACACAGCCAAAACACCTATGTTCATAAATTTGGATAGATAGATAGATAGAAGATAGATGAAATAGAAAGGAATTAATATTTTCAGATTTAGACTATGATTTTTTCATACCTAGACTACCCCACTGTCAGCTACCAACTGAGTCAAAGTGTCAATGTCAAGTATCAATGAAAACAATGTGACCTTTGGTCTAAGAATTTTTAGATAATTGTACATGAAATTTTGCAAGAGAAAATTTGTTTAATACTTGCATAAATGGTGCCTTATGTCTGTTTTACTTGGAAATAGCAAAGATGTTTTAGAAATTTTTAATGTGTGTGATAGAGAACATGTGTGGAGGTCAGAGTTAGGAGACAACTTGTAGAAATTAGTCCTCTCCTGTGACACAGGTCCTGAGCGTCAAACTGGGGTCATTCGGCTTGGTGGCAAATGCTTTTCCAACTGTGCCATCCTGCCAGTGAAATCTTTGCCAACTGATGATAGCAGGGAAGACCTTATATGGTTAATATAGGTTTATAAACAGAATGTGTCTTCTGTGTATGCAATTACAAAACAAGCTTACAGGAATACATTTTGAAAGGTTGTTTCCACAGTTTGAATTTTTAAAGGTATGATGTGTTGGCTTTTTTTTTTAACACAATCCTAGACATAACTAAGAAAAGGAAACCACAGTTAAAAAAATGCTTCCATAACACTGGACTGTAGGCAAGCCTGTGTCCATTTTCTTGGTTTTTTTTTTTTTGTTTTTTGTTTTTTGTTTTTTGTTTTTTTGTGTGTGTGGAAGAGTCCTGTCCTGTGTTGCTGGTGCTAGTGCTGGCTAGGTAGTCCTGGGGTATATAAGAAAGGAAACTGAGTAAGCCTGCAATCAGCTCTTGTCCATGGAGTCTGCCTCAGTTCCTGCCTGGAGTTCCTGACCTGTTTTTCTGGCTGATTGGCTATAAGCTGTAACATGAAATAAAAACCCTTTTCACTTCAAGTTGCTTTTGGTCATGATGTTTGTTTTATCACAGCAATAAAAACCCTAAAATAGAATTACAGAGTGCCAGGCTTTATAAAGCATTAAAGAAATAAAAGAAATTTTGATTACCTTTTTTAAAGGCAGGAATTACAGATGGTCCTCCATTCTTCTCCAAGCTAAAAAGGAAAAAGAAAAAAAAAAAAGTCAAATAATAAAATACATGAAAACATAGTGTACCCAGAAAACATAAGTAAATAAAGATTTCAGGTGGCATGTTCAGTGGCCTGATGATCTATGTCATACGTGTATAAAATTGCATACTCATTTCAAACATTAAATATAACTAAAGTGGAATATAAATCTGAAATGGTGTGAAGAAGGGACTTGTGTGCTTGTCCATAGGGAGCAGCACTATTGGGAGGTGTGGCCTTGTTGGAGGAAGTGTGTCACTATGGAGGCGGGCTTTGAGGTCTTAAATGTTCAAATTGGGGCTGGCGACACAATCACTTCTGCTGCTTGCAGATCAAGTTGTAGAACTCTCAGCTCCATCTCCAGCACCAGGTCTGCCTACCAGTGCCATCTTCCCACCAAGACAACAATGCACTAAACCTCTGAACTGTAAGCTAATCCCTATTAAATGTTCTCCTTTATCAGAGTTGCCATGTTCATGGTGTCTCTTCACAGCAATAGAACCCTAACTAAGACTGGACACAAACTGGATTTTGAAGAAAACAATATTGAACAGGAGCACATCTTCCATTTTCCTCAGTCGTGGGAATGACTGCAAAGTACAAATCATTGTACTAAATTACATTTATGAAACATTTATTTATCGGGTATGAGGTAGCTGCAGGTAAAATTAACTTAACATTGTAAGTTATTACAATTAAAGTTCAGATTGTGTTTTATATTTATGCAATTTATTTTGGATTTTCAGTTTTCAAAGGATTCTTAAAATACACATCTTTTTCTCTACTTAAAATTTATATAACATAAGATACTGTTTTGGAGCGTATTCCCTTCCTGTATTATGGTAATAATAAATCTTAAGTAACTCTTTTACTATATATGAATGCTTTCCTACTTAGACTCATAATTCAGCTCTGTGGAGAGAAGCAGAGAAATAGTCCTCAGTAAGATTTTTTTGCTACTTATTTTATACTTTATTTTTTACTACTTATTTTAAAGACTTAGGTTATAATGAAACTATAACATTGAGACAAAATCATTTGAGCAAAATGCTTGAACAAAACTATAACTTCAGCCACTGTGTCTATTTTAGCCCTGTTTATCCCCCTCCCCCCAAAAAATAGTTTGGTTTAGCTTTGGGTCAGAGTCTAGGAAATCCATTTGCGGCGGAGATTATTTTGGTTTTCCTGTTAGTTCAGAACTCTTCAAATATATCTGTAAGTTAATAGGAATAGATTCCTGAATCAGGCATAAAATTTATCAGTCTCTCAAAAACTTCTAAAGTTAAAATAATCCTGTCTACTCAGGATCCCTAAAATCTGGTTGTCCCATCAACCTACATTCCTATTACTAAATTAGGATTAAAATGAGTCTTTTCTTGGCACATGCATTTCTAATTTCAGCTTCTGAGGAGGCAGAGGAAGGAAGGGAAATTGTAGCTAGTCAACTTGGCAAAACACTGTATCCAAAATACATACAGCAGTGTCCCTGTGATTGGGAAGGATGGCTGACTTTGGAGCATGTTAGAGATTATGGTGACAACTTTGGGCATTTTTTATCATCATTAGCTGTCTGACCCCTGGAACTAAAAAGCTCCAATTTTTCTCTCAGCTGAAGCTGCAGGGTATTGAGGCATTAGCCAAGTGTCTGCTCAATAAAAATCAGTGGTGTCACAGAGCATTGGAACCCTGACACTAACAGAAACTGGTAAGTTAGAACTGGCTATATTAGAATCTCTGCTGGGAAAGAAAATCACGTGGGTAACCATACATACAACTAACATGTCCATCTTCCCAGGAAGAGGATGTGGTATGGTACTGACATTTTCCCTGAGGCCCACTATGACATGAAAATATATAGGAGTTCATGTATCAGTTCTGGGAGAGATGCTGGAAAGGTATCTCATAAGATATGCTACTTCCTGACTAGCTGAAGGGCAGTGACTACCTGCTACATGGATATGGACCATCTGTGCCTCCTTTCATGCTTGACTTTAAAGCACCTTCCTCCAGATAGAGACTGGCAAGCTTTGTACATCTACTTTTGGGGAATTTTGACCATGCAAGAACAAATATGTATTTCATAGCCCCCATTCACAAGAAGGTGGTTTGGGTTATGTTCTTTGTAAGTGCACTGTTCTGTTTGAGCATCTCACTTCTGGATACTTATTATTCACAGAAAGCCCAACACTTCCGAACTGGACTATTGGGAGCTTCATCCCCACAAAAGGCTGATGGAAAGCCATTGCTCCTTCAGTTTCCCATAGCCTCTGTTCATCAACCTCCATCATGTGCGTCTTGAGCATTTCTTCCTTCACTGCGGCACAGTTGGGCTGGCTTAACACTTCTTCAGCATTGGCCTGCAGGAGCAGGGGTATCTCAAGAATTGGCTTGAGTAGTGTTATGTTCATCCTGGGCTTCACAGTTGCCAAGGGCTCTGTTGCAGTGGAGGCCAGGCTGGTTCCTCTCATGGCTCTTTTACATCACCAGAACTGCCCTTTATACTGCTTGTTTCCTATTTTAAGCACTTCTTTCCAAGAAAATATGGGTTCAGTCTCATCAGATTTTCTACACCCATGTGGGAGTTTCCACTCTGGCCCATTTCAGTAGGCTCTCTGACCTCTGTAATTCATCAGTACAGCCTTTGAAGTAGCTGTAGTGATGAGGAACTTCCTCATCAGCGGTTTGAGAGAAGGGGTGGAGAGACAGACAGAGCATCTCTCAGTGACCTAGAACTCATCCACTAGAATGGCCTGGCTGGCCAAGAAGCACTGGGGGCCACTTTGTTTCCTCCCCAGTACTAGGATTGTACAACCAAGCCTAAGTGGTTGTTTGTTTGTTTGTTTACTTGTTTATTGTGATAAATGAAGAGGAAGAGCCTTCTGTTTCTGGAAGTAACAGAAAATTCAGTAGCAGTAAAGCTTCAGAGCTTCCTCTCCCAGCCACGCTAGGCAGCACCAAAGCAGTGTGCCCAATAGCAAGGTAACTGCACACAGTACTGAGCCACACAGCACCAGGACTTTGATGCTCAGGGGACATTTTACCCACTCCTTGAACTATTTTGGAAAAAGAAAAAAGGTTTTCAGAAATTCTGGTTGTTGCTTTTTTGAAAGAAATTGTGCTTTGTTTGCATCTTAAATTTCAAACAGGGCTTTTTATTTTGCAGCGTACTTTTCAGAAACAATTATAACCAAATCTGATCTTCCTTGGGCCTAGCCTGCTTACACACAGAAGAATAAATCTACCAACTTTTGCATAGCCCAACTAATCATGGAAATGTGTCAAGGCTGAAGTAAAGTAAGTTTTACTATTTTTCCTTGGTGGAATAATGCACTTAAAGTAAAGGAAGATCCTTAATACTGAGCTTAAATGGAAACCTGCTACTGTGTACTTGGTACAGAGATTGAAAACCAATAAAAAGAAGACACTTGGCATTCAAAAATAAATAAAAGCAGACTTTGGCAATGAACATTCATTCAAGGTTAAGTTTCTACTTTAGCATGCAGAGGATGTTCATTTCAAGGGGAGTCTTAATGCTCAACCCCTGAGATCTCCTAAGATCTTTGCCAATAATGTCACTTGTGCAGCTCCTTATAAGGGCACAGTACCTTAGGGCTGGCAGACCCACACGTTTCTGCATTTGAAACTCCCTCAGGAACTCAGGGTTAATCTTCGCATCTTTGCTGATGTTATTTTTTATTCGCAGGAACTGGTTAGGCTTATTCCTGCACTCGGTTAACAGGATGCGGAAAGCATGTGCATTGTAAGTTAAGTAGCCAAGAGCACAGGAACATGCTGTTCGAACCTAAAATGTGAAGAAACTGTTTTACATGTTTCCCTAATATTTTGACAAAATATAACTGACATAAAATTTGCTATTTGGCCATTTTAAATTATACAATTCACCAGAGCTAAATATATTCATATATACTTTTTGAACATTATGTTATAAAAAGAAACTTGTTAAGCATGGACTGTGAAGGCTCAAGGCTTACTGCAGAAGTATGATAGGAAGAGTTCAAGAGCCAGAGGCAGTGGCTACAGAAAATTAACCTGCACACAGCAAGGCAGCTTGACATATGATCTCAAAGTAGTTAAATAATATGCACAAAACCTATGCAAGCCCGACCCACCGCCATAGAGCTATTGGCAATTATCAGCTCCTGGGATAGGGAGAGACAGTCTTCTCTTTACAGTGTATCCCCTGGTAAATCAGCCACACTCCGTGGAAGGCCAACCACACATTCAGAATCATTGGAGCAGCACAAATTGGTCTTGACAGACTTTTAAAAAGGACTCAGAATTGTGCGGGTAGGGGAGTGGGGGTGGGTAAAGGAAAAGTTGGAGAGAAGGGGTGAATATGATGAAAACGTGATATGATAGTCTTAAAAATCTAATAGAAATGATCTAGCTCAGAGCTCTAGTTAGCAACTTATGAAAGTCTCTGTTTCATAGAGAACCCATTTGGATCCCAGAGCCCACATCAGAAAGCTCAAACCACCTAGGACTCCAAATCCAGGAGATCCAAGACCCTCTTCTGGCCTCCATGGGCACTTGTATTCACATGCACATACCTATACAGACACACATATACACATTATTAAAAGTAAGATAAATCTTAAGATAATTTCTGTAAGCCAGGTATGGTTGCACACGCCTTTAATCCAAGCACTAGGGAGGCAGAACAGGTGGATCTCTGAGTTTGAGGCAAGCCCAGTCTACAAAGCGAGATCCAGGCTCTTACATAGAGAAACCTCATCTCTAAAAATCTGTAAATATTGGTATCAGATACGGATGTAAACAGACCTCAGTCACCAGGTGGAGCACAATAGCTCGTGCATGTCAGTCACTCATTCTACTTCCAGAGCACATCCTCTGCCCCTATTTTTAGCAAATACTATTAATTGACATTGGTTTCTAGTCATTGCTCACAATATCTGTGAGCATACTTGACTTAATTTTAGAATCACTTAGAATATTAAAAAGTGAAACTAAATAGGCTTGCCTAATGGCTGAGTAACCAAGATTTTAGATACTGTCTAAACATTTTAGTTATAAATTTGTTTCACCACAGTGTATTTATACATTGAATATTTACATTTTAAGTTATACAAACAATGGTTTTTTTAATATTTTTTATTTTTAAATAATTTTATACATTCACTTGTATCCCTGCTGTAACCCTCTCCCTCTTTCCCTCCCAATCCTCCCCTCCCTCCCTCATCTCCCCCCTGTTCCCTTCTGAGTCCACTGAGAGGGGGTGTCCTCTCCTCCTTCTACCTGGCCCTAGCTTTTCAGGTATCTTCAGGATGGTTGCAATGTCCTTATCTGTGGCCTAGCAAGGCTGCTCCTCCCTCAGGGGAAAGGGGAAGCTCAATGAACCAGACATTGAGTTCATGTCAGAAAACAATTCCTGTCCCCCTTACTAGGGAACCCACTTGGATACTGAGCTAGCATGGGCTATGTCTGAGCAGGGGTTGTAGGTTATATCCATGCATGGTCCTTGGTTGGAGAAACAGTCTCATAGAAGACCTCAGATATATTTGTGCTCAGATATATTTGGATCTTGTGGGGCTCCCTGTCTCTTCTAGGTTATGCTAATTCCTCCTTCCTTCATATGATCCCTACACTCTGCCGAAGGCTTGGTTATGGGTCTCAGCATCTGCTTTGATACACTGCAAGGTAGAATCTTTAAGGTGCCTTCTGTGATAGGCTACTGTCCTGTTACTTGTTTTCTCCTACTTCCAATGTCCATCTCCTTTGTCTTTCTAGCTGAGGATTATCTTACTCCTGGTCCTCTTTCTTGTTTATCTTCTTTAGGTGTACATTTTTAAGTATGTTTATCCTATCTTATAGGTCTAGTACCCACTTATAAGTGAGTATATACCGTGTGTGTCTTTCTGCTCTTGGAATATCTCACTCAGGATGATCTTTTCTAGATCCCACCATTTGCCTGCAAAATTCATGGTTTCCTTGTTTCTAATTGCTGAGTAGGATTCCATTGTGTGGACAATGGGTTTATTATGGCACTTTCTTACATCCATGTCCTACTTCGAGTTCTTAAAATATGGCGCTTTACCAATTTGCATGTCATTCTTTCACAGGACACATTCTAAATTCCTGTGTGACCCAGACTGGCTTTGAAGTTGGAAAAATCTTTCTGTCTTGGTCTCCTGAGTGCTGAGATTACTGGCATGAGATTTTTGTAGATTAAATCTTAATTTTAGAATTAAAACAACTCATTTCATAGTTTTGTTTTTTCATTTTAGCTCAGATTAATTTGAACTGATATTGGATTTTAAACATTTTAATAAGCATGATACTAAAGAGTGTCTTCCATTGAAACTTAGCCTGCTTTCTGATATAAGGCAGTTGACCATAAAACATACATAAAGATATGTATATAGCTTTGCCCAGAGACTTTCCACCCACATAACAGCAGTTAATCAATTTTCCTTTTCCATGATGATCTTCTGCAAGTTTTTTTAAGGATTGATTTATGTGTGTGTGTGTGTGTGTGTGTGTGTGTGTGTGTATGTTTGTCCATCCCCGTGGAAATCAGAAAAGGGCATTGGATTCCCAGGAACTGGACTTACAAGCAGTTATGAGCCATGTGATACAGGTGCTGGGAGCCAAACTGGGACCCTCTGCAAAAAGAGTGCTACAAGCTCTTGAACCTTTTCAGCCCCACAGTTTTAAAATGTTTAATTATAGTTGTTGTACAGGGCTTCTGCAGAAATCTGAAATGCTGTAGTTAAAATCCTTTGGGACGCAGGATTGTAGATGTCAGGTATGACTAATATTGGAAAGGTCAACTGTTTTTGCATTATTATGAATCATGTAATATCCGAAGGAAAAAGCATCCCCTTGTATGAGAGAAACAAATTTTATTATTTGTAGCATGTTACATTTTACAAATAGATTTTTGTTTTTACCTCTTCTCTTTTTGAGTACAAGTGGTAGCATAGCCGTTGGATTGTTCCTAGTGTGAGAAAAGCTTCTGGAATACCAGTTCTCAGGTGACACAGACTAGCTATTAAATTGCCTAGAATTAAAGCAAAGAAAAGCTCTTATATTATCTGAAAGTGATAATTGATATGTTGCTTTTGTTTACTTGTGCAAAGCATTTTTAAAAATTTAGCTACAAAACCTCTGCTAAATGAAAAAGCAAGAAAAAATGTCTTACATAAATGTTTGATAATCGTTGCCTGTAGTTGATTTTCCATGACACATACTAAAGCTTGCATATGTTTATTTAAGTAAAAATAAGAACACTTCAAAGTTGGAAGCTTCCTGTCTTCCAACACTTCAAAATATATTCACTCTGTTTTTTGGTTATTAAGATTCTTTTAAATTTATTTTATGTACATAAGTATTTTTTCTGAATGTATGACTGTATACTACATGTATTTCTTGTGACACAAAGGTCATTGTATAATTGGAGTCTCACTATAGTCTAGAAAATCATTAGAAGTTTGAAATAATAATTAGGAAAGCAAAAACGCTGTATTAAGAGTTGCTGCATTCCTATTTTGTGAGCAGAGCGGATGCCCATTGCTCCATCCAGACATATATATTCAGGATTTTCAGGTAGCCTAATCTGAAAACTATGTAACAGAGAATCAAGCATATATTCATAATTTTAGTCTAAAATCTTTTTATTATCTGTCTTCGACACAAAGTGTAGATATCATTATATTTTTGTTGTTGTCTTGTTTGTTTGTTAGCTATCTCTTACCTGTCAGGACAATAGTAGGAATGTGGACTGAATATAGACTGTTAACTAAAATAGTAACACCTCTTGCAGTCAAAGTAATATGGTCCGTGTCTATAATGACTTTAGCTAATACGATAATCTAAAACAGAAAAAAGGTATAAAATTGCTGAATATTTGCTACTCAGATTCTCTTAATAATTTATCATTTTGGGGCATTTGAGGGGGATAAAGGAAACACTTCATGGACTCCAATAGAAGAAATGTGAGAAGTGAAAGCAGGAGTTGAAGTATTTCCTCCCAAATGGTCATAGCAATGATTATAACAGGCTATATTATTCTTTCTGCAGTTCTAGCAACATTGGTTCTTGAATTACGAGAGAAATGCCCCACAAGGCAGTAGGATAGGAAAGCTCTGAAGAGTAAGCATAAGACAAAGAAAAAGCTAGATGATGCTGTTCTAGGGTGGAAGCAGCGAGTGGTCAGCCCACAAGCTGCAATTAGACCTGGTTTCAGCACCTCCCTTCCTTTAAACATATGATAAAGGTACCTGCCTGCTGACCTCACTGGGTTGTTAAAGACATCTGATATAACCAAAACCACTCCATATAGATAAAGCAGTCCTAATAATGGACTTTTCATGAGGTAGAGGAGCTGATGTGCAAAATACCAAAGTTTATAAATTAAACATGTTTCTGGATACCCAGTAAAGAAGCACGCACTAAGTGACATGCTTGCCAATATGAAACGTTAGGGTCTGTGTACCTGAAATGCTGCCATTGCTTTCTCCGTTTCAACTTTGGATTGAAGAAAAGGCTCAAAAATAGATAAAGTTATCATTCCAGTTTCCAATATTAAGTACTGTTGAAAACGATTATTGAAGGCAAAAAGAGTTAGTGCATAACCTGCTCGCAAGCAAATTTCCTAGAAAAAGGAGAAACACAAATCATTTTTATTTGCTTCATTACATGGTACTCACTGGGTTTTGAGTTATTGCCTGTTAAAATGCATTTTATTCTTAATAAGAAGAAAAATATGACATTATTGAGTAAACTTTTTAAAGAAAAGTAATTTCATTATATTAGCTGTCTGGGGAAAGCACCTTCTTCCTCATAAAGCATTTCAGAAGCCTTACTGTCATGGTGTAGAAGAAGGGCATGACTGGGATGAAAAGGCAGGAGATTAAGTTGAGGCTTCCATTAAGGACAGAGGTTTCTTTGGAGTCCCATCACCAAGCATTAAAATTGATGCATGTCAAGGAATACTGTGCGACAACTGAAAAATTTGGAACATACTATCACACCATTACAAACTCATGACCTACAAAGAGACATATTATTTATTCTCTTTAATAATACACTTGGATGCTGCCATAAAGAAGACTTGGTCATACCTGACAGTGTTTTCTTAGAACCATTTTCCCCTAGGTGAGCGCACAGAGGTTTTGTAAAGGTCCTACCTTATCTTTTGAGTGAAGAAGAAAAAGAACATCAGAATACTCGAATCCTTCTTTTTCTTGTAATTCTTCCTGTATAAAATTATTCCCTAAGACAATGCACGCCAACGAAAATGCGACTTCAACCTAAATGCGTGGTTTTCAGAAATTACCTTTAATTCACATATTACTGAAGAATATATTTCATTATGTAAATATGCAGACTAGATTGTGGAAATATAATTACAAAGTGTTTTTTTAATTTTTTATTAATTACACTTTATTTATTTTGTATCCCCCATAAGCCCCTCCCTCCTCCCCTCCCAATCCTCCCCTCCCTCCCCTTTCTGCATGCATGCCCCTCCCCAAGTCCACTGAAAGGGGAGGTTCTCCTCTCCTTCTTTCTGATCTTAGTCTATCAGTTCTCATCAAAAGTGGCTGCATTGTCCTCTACCATGGCCTGGTAAGGCTGCTCCCCCCTCAGGGGGAGTGATCAACGAGCAGGCCAATCAGATTATGTCAGAGGCAGTCCCTCTTCCCATTACTATGTAACCCACTTGGACACTGAACTGCCATGGGCTACATCTGTGCAGGGGTTCTAGGTTATCTCCATGAATGGTCCTTGGTTGGAGTATGAGTCTCTGGGAGGTTTTTTTTTGTTTTTTTATTTCTGTTTATTTACATTACATCCCACTGGTGCCCCCTTCCTTCTCTCTTGTCAGTCCCCTCTCCTCAATTACAAAGTGTTTTTAAGTACAATGTATTGATTAGAGTTCTCTGGCTACTGTTTAAAGAATACACAGCTCTTGGAGAACCATTCCTCATAAATTTTCTAAAAGATTTACTTATTTATTTATTTATTTTTATTATGTATACAGTGTTCTGCCTTCTTGTATGCCTGCATGCCAGAAAATAACACCAGATCTCATTATAGATGGTTGTAAGCCACCGTGTGGTTGCTGTGAATTGAACTGAGGACCTTTGGAAGAGCAACCAATGCTCTTAAGCTTTGAGCCATCTCTCCAGCCCCAACATAAAATTTAATGGACAGAAAAATATCCATTTCTTTGGTGACCAGAGATGACCACACATCTCCCTCTGAGGGTGCCAGGGGCAGAGTGGTTGTCCCCAGGGACAGTAGAGTATAGAGAGAGATACAGCCCTAGTTCTGCAAAATGTCTCCTGGCTGAGTTTAAAGGCTGTTTTAAGTTGCTAATGACCACGGAGTTCTCCAAGTGTAAGACTGCTTAAGAATGTAAGCAAAGTTTAATAAAAGTAGAATTAAGACATAGTATTTTCCTTCTAGTTTTTAGAGTCGTTTAACTTGTACTTATCTTCTATCAGAAAACTGAATTCTATACATTGCTGGACTTCAACAGACAACTTTTAAAAGGCTGTACTATGCCTTTCTATGAAAAAACCTAAGAATTTGAAAAGCATGACTATTTTGAAATATTCTGTCCACTTTAGAGCCTAATTTTCAGGAAAATGTCTGGCAGTATTTATATTATACTTTAACAAGGTTCAAAGGCCATTGAAAATTAAACTGAGTTATAGATGGATAAAATGGAAGTTTTTCCATGAAAATACTTGCACCTTAAAAGTCTACATAATTTTTATTTATAATTCAAACCAACAATTATTTGTAGCTTATTCTTCCCTTTATTTCCCCACTGAACTCCTGCAATTAAATAATTCCATTTATATCCTGAAAGGCCAAGTATCTTACGATATCTTATCTATAAAAAGATATTATTTATTAACATGTTAACCTGAATTTTTCTGTTTCTCATCACATCCTGAAAGTCCAAATAACTTATGACATTTTTTGCAGTGTCTATAACATTGTTCACTAACACATCTAACACATTGTTCCATATATTTATATTTCCTCATCACTAACAGAGTCCCTGGCAAATTATGAGAAGAAAAAATATATATTGTTAGAATTTCCTGCTTTCCCGCCTATAGAATTCAGAAATTTTTATGGCTTTAGTGAAATTGAATTGATTCTAGTTTATTAAAGACGTTTTACTAGTGGATAGAAGAATGGATAACACTCAGACTTTATAATAATTTTTCATAATCCAGTTGTGAGAGCACTGGCTGACAGGCAGCCCTTGCTATTTTGATGGGTGTTCCCTTGTTCTTGAGAAACAGGGCCACTACCTGAACTTTTAACAATCACTAACTGAGGAAGAAGGTAGCTATTTCTGTGAATACAGTGAATGGCTAAGAAAAAATAGCTAAAGAATAAGTACATAAGACTTTCATGTCATATTTGAAGAAATTAATATTTACTACATTAATCTTTTCTTCTTAAAACTTTTAACTTTGTTTTAAAAGTTAAGTTGTTATGCTTGTAAACTTGCATAATCTAAGATACAAATTATTCTTAAAGGTGTTGTATACATTGCAGAAACATTTAAATCTTAATATATACCTTAATGTTAAGTGAAGGGTGACTTCTTAGTAGCTGAATAAGCACTGGCAAGGCATTTTCCTCCACAACAAACTGTTGACTCAAGGGATTGCTCGTGTGGGCCACACCTGTAAGGCTCTCATGGGTCAATGGGGGTTATATTTTTGTTCCAGCTTGTAAATTATAGAGTTGAACTTAGCTTGACTTTGGTTGATAAATTATCTTAAGGTAATATGGCTACCAAATTTTTAAAAAATGGTATATTGACACTATTTCAGTACTCCTGCATTAATTTTTTTAAAGGGCAGAATGAATAAGCATGGAAAAATCATTACTAGAATTATAGATGGTTTATAATAGAGACATAGCACATAAATTTGAAAAATGCTAATTACTAAAAAAGAAGTCATTATTGGTTAAACATGCTATATCCTGGTACTCAAGTTTATACTTATTTTTTTCAATTAAAAGTTTTTTAATCTATAAAAAAGACTAATCACTGAGTTAAATTTTTTAGCTTTCTTAAATTGCATATAAATATATATGCAAAAAATATAAACATATTGTCTTCCTTTACAACATTCTATACTTTATGTTGCAACCTAATATCAGGAGAAAAATTCAACCTCATGTTTGTGAATATTCATAAAAATTTTAATTTTGTTTTGCCAAGGAATGCAATTACATATATGGTAGATTTATATACTGAAATATAGTATAAATATATTTATTATGTATACATATAAATATAATAACTGTTTATATGTAAGTAGAAATACAAGATTAGGCTTCTCTAAGCAGTAACAAAGAGCCAGCCACATGTTGTTATTTGGAAAGTTTAAATTAAATAGGGGAAGTAGAATGATCAACGCCCATTTTATTTTTTTCTCCTTCACCATCCTCATGTAAGGACAGTTGTTGTTGGGGTGATGATCAAACAAATATATATTTTTATGTGTAATACATATTTTATATTAGATATAATTTGTTATAGATTGTATTATTATATAATTTGTTTATAGATAATATGTATTATCACTTACTAGACTATGTGACTATGTCTATGTATGCTTGTGTGTGTGGGTGCCCCACATGCCAGCTGGAGTTCCAGGCAGGATACTGAGAACATGGGTGTTACAAACTGAACTAGGTCCTCTGGAAGAGCAACAAGCTCCCTGAACCACTGAACCATCTCTTCAACCCCCATTTGCTACAATTTTATTATATGTAGAATATATATCATAGATTTCAGCTATGAAAAAAACATTTTCTGGATTATTTATTTCTTATAATAATTAATTTCTACAGGTATTTTTCATAAGGAAGGAATTAAAAATGGAGCTACTAACTTCAACCTCTGGGGACCTTTGAGAAAATATTTAAAAACCTGGAAAAACAAATATGCACAAAAAGCTTCTCTCCTCTTGTTTGCAAGAAATCACCTGTGGATTCTTACTCTGAATTCATGAGGATCAGCTGAGAGCTCAGATTTTATTCGTCGATGAGTTACTAAATCTTCTTCCCTTTTTACATGTACCCTAAAATGTCAATTCTTTTGTGACAAAAGATGCTTTATAGAAACAATTATTTGTTTACATAACTAAACAAGAATTGAAAAAATATAATTGAATGTTAACCTTAAGAAATTTATGGCTTTTGACATTTTAAACTTATCTTCATATAAATGGGATTCTTTCAGTTCAAAATAGTCAATGTTCATTGTCATTTTCTATTCTCCTCAGAATTCAAGAGCAAGACAGATGTGAATTTTTAACATCACCTTTTTAACTCACCAAGGTCCTGGAGAAAAAATTTACAAATCTTTGAGGTCTTGTATAGTGTGAACAGTGATAAAGAAACAATTCCTACTTCTCTATCTATGTCATTTATTTTTCTAATAGCAATTAAGAAACTGAGACTATATACAAACCAACACAAATGGACCCCACTGCTCTGATGACACTCAGGAGTGTGCCTTCTGCTATCTTGTTAATTTTCAGCAGGCGAACCAGCGGTGCGATGCCATTACCTTCACATATTTGATTCTGATGTATCCTGCTGTCCTTACTCAGAGCTATGACTGCTTCACCTCCTGGCAATGAAAAGTCAGAGTGGGTGTGGGCTTCTGTATCCACACATTAGCAGTTATGCATAGAAAACGACTCACCCACATACTGCATCTTAGCTGACGGCGACAAAAGCATGTTGATTATGAAGTTGTATCCAATTTGTTCTGCCATATATTTTTGTTGTTTCAGTGTTTGTCCTGCCAAGGCCCAAAGTGCTACGGCTCCTTGTTCCTTAACATCTAATTGAAAGGCCTGTTAAGACAAAAAAAAACATGCCATTCATACAGTGAATGTGTATTGAACACATTAGGGATGTATATTTTTTATAAAATGTGCAATACAGACTATGGTTTGATTTTCCAATCTCCAAATATAGTTCAAAATGAAGTAACTCATCTATACAATTAGAAGAGTAATGACAAAAATCCTACCTTCAGAAGTTTTAGGAGGTCTTTAGTTAAGTTTCTTTCCAGAAATGCCCTCTGGATTGAAGGATTGTAACTTGCCAATGACTCAACAGCCATTGCACCTTTCACTTGGACACTGAGGTGCTTCCCTTTAAAAAGATCTACCAGGGGAGGTATTGCCCCCTCCCTTGCTATAGCATCTTGCACCTCCTTATTATTGCGACCGACCTCGGCAATTGTAGCTGAGGACACTGCCTTCAGTATATCTTCAAAAGAGTCAAGAGTAATAAACAAGTCAGTGCAAATGTAAATCTACCCCACTGTAGGATGGCTCCGCATATTATAAAATCAAATGTATAAATTCAAAGAAAATTTAGAAAACAGAATATAAATAAACTGTTCAGACTCATTACCATTTTCTCCACTATTTCTTATAGAGATACCTGGCATATTTGAATAATTACAGACTTACTCAATAGAATTGTACTACAAATACAGTATGTATACTTTTGTTACCGTGGAAATGTTTTACCCATTCCTTTATGAACACGAATAATGCCTTCTAAATACTGCATTAATGGTTGTATCGCTTTGAAAATATATGTTGCTTCAAACATTTCACTGTTATAAATAATTCCAGGAGAAATTTTCTTAACATTTTAAAATTTTCTTAGATATTTATCAATACATTTTTTTCTTTAGTACAGAGCCTTGTGAATTACTGGAGTAATTTATAACATTTTAGTAAATGGGTTTCTAAAAGAATCAGTAGCATTTTACTCTTCCATAGTCATAGCTTGAGCATATCAATTTGACTTTGTTTTCTCAAATGTAAATATTATCATTAAAAATGAATACATAAAACTTGATAACTTTCTAGACAAAAATGGCGGGTTTTTTGTTCTTACAATTTATGGAAGTGTTGTAATAATTAAGAGAACTCATATATTTCAACTGCATTTATAAATTTAGTATATTGTCATGGTAATTTTATATATGTATCTATATACAACTTAGTTTTGCTCTATCTATCTATCTATCTATCTATCTATCTATCTATCTATCTATCTATC